GACCGTTGTGGAGGTTCTTCGAACTGTCGAGGAAGACGCTGCTGCTTTCCGCCCACACCAGAATGTCTGCATATCAGAGATTCAACATGCTCTGGGTCTCAAGGGAGACAAGCTCTTCAACACTTGCCTGTCCTACCAGGAGGAGCCTCATGAGCTGAAGAGCAGATTCAGCTCGACCAGACCGCCGATGGGACTTGCTTGTGTCCAGGCATTCAACACACCCGACTACGATGTCACCTTCTCGTTGACTCTTGTCAATGGGCAGATGATCACTGGTGTCTCTCACAGAGTCATGACTGCTTCTCAAGCTCAGAACTTGACTAACACCTTCGGGCGTGCTGTGCTCTCCATCCTAAGCAGCGCTAACGGCTCCATCAACAGCATTGATCTCTTCACTGATAGAGACTACGCCCAGCTGTTGATCAGCGATTGGGAAACGGACAAGGCTACCGAGGCATCTCATGGTTGTGTTCATGCGCTTATCTCACAGCAAGCAAGGCTCAGGCCAGATGCTCAAGCTATTTGTGCCTGGGACGGCCACCTCTCGTACAGGCAGACGGGCCGTCTTGTTTCTCGACTTGCCACATATCTCGTGCAATGGGGTGTGCGGCCCGGTGTACCTGTACCAGTCATCCTGGACAAGAACAAGTGGGCAGTCATCAGCATCCTTGCCGTCTTGAAGTAAGTGCGCTCAAGCTATTTGACGGGCTGCAATGTTGCTGACATACATCTAGGGCTGGTGGCTGCTTTGTGCCTATCGATGCCGAAGACCGAAACAACGTCGAGACATTCATTCGCCAGCTCTCGCCGAAGATTCTCATCGCCACCGACATGAATTGGAAGTATCTCGAGTCAATCATCGAGGGCGTCATCGTCGTTGATGACTCTCTCTTCAACGTCAGCTTCCCTCTTGAGTCGCCTCTTCCCATGGCCGCGCCCAACGATGCTGCTTGCATCCTTCTATCTCCTGCCTCATCCCGCGGCAGAGAGGCCAAGGGCATCATCTTCCACCACGCCGCTCTTTCTGCAGCTTTCGTCACACAGGGCCGCGCACTCAACCTCAATGCCGACAGCCGTGTCATGCAGCTGTCTTCATTCAACGTCGACACGGCGCTGATTGAGCTGCTTTCAACACTCGTACACGGCGGTTGCGTATGCGTACCTTCTAGCGTTGAGAAGACCAGCGATATCGTCGGCGCCGCTCGCAGAATGGACGTCAACTGGACTTACATGACGCCAGTCCTGGCAAGGAAGATGACTCCGGCAGCCATTCCCAGCTTGAGAACCGTCTGCTTCAGGACTCGACGCCTCGACGAGGATACCTGCGCCCCATGGATTGAAAAGACAAAGGTCCTTCTGGCATATGGTGCTCCAGACATTTGCCCACTCGGCATCTCGGTTCTCGAGGTCACGAAGCCGCAGGATCTGACCCGGGTCGCGCGACCCTTCCTCGGCAGGTTCTGGATTGTTAATCCGGAAGACCACCGCAGACTCATGCCAATTGGTGCCATTGGCGAGCTCATCATCGAGAGCCCGACACTTGCGCATCGCTTCGTTCCAGGACAGCCTCTGGCACACCTTCCGCAGGACTCAGATGTGTCACTTGAGGATGGGAAGCCAAAGACGAGGTACTTCAAGACAGGCCACCGAGTTCGCTACATGGACGATGGCATGCTCGACTTCGTCTCAAGTGGCCGTGATGATGTCGAGATCAAGGGTCAGATTATCCCTGTCGCCCAAGTTGAACAGCAGCTCCGTCGCTGCCTTGGCCAAGGGATGGACCTCGCCGTGGACTCGATCATCACTCGTGATGCCCAGCCTGCACTGGCAGCATTCATTGAGCTGGGCGAGAAGCTCTTTGAGGGCTCGGAGGACCTTACCAGAATCACGATCACGACCCGCGAGCGCACTTACATCGCCAAGAAGCTCATCGAGTCTTCGGTGGGCAGCGGTCTTCCCTCGCACATGATGCCAACCATCTTTGTCCCTGTCAGACATCTTCCGGTCACCCCATCACTAAAGGTCAACCGCCGCAAACTCCAGAAGATGGTCAGCTGGCTGTCTCAAGAACAACTACTGGATTTGTCAACCGTCCCGTCGCCCGATGATGTGCAGACGGTTGGCATCAAGCCCCTCCCCCTCACACAGGTTGAAGAGCGCATGCGGTCGATCTGGTCTACTCTCCTAGGCGTCGATGCAGCCTGCATCCGCGGTAACCAGAGTTTCCTCTCTCTCGGTGGCGAGACCTTCCTTGCTGCCCAGCTCGTGGTCGAGTGCCGCAAGCAGGGTCTCATCATTGCACTTCCTGACATCCTTCGCGGCGCAACCCTCACCGAGCTCTGCCAGGGTATCACCATCAGTGCGGAGTTCACTGTCGACATTGCTGAGCTGCCATCCAACGCCTCATCTTCCATGGGCTCGAGCTCAGAGATGCAATTCGAGGAGCAGTTCATCCAGGACATCATCGCGCCGAAGATGGGCATATCTCGGGAGGAAATCACCGACGTCGCGGAGGCATCCGCCACCCAACTCAAGTTCCTCGAGACTGGTCTTCTCAAGGGAAGCTCTAGTCTCACCTACTTCACCTTCAGCTTCACTGGTCCCGTTCATCCCAAGAAGCTCGAGGCTGTCTGCATCTGCCTTGCCAAGATCCATCCCATCCTGAGAACGGCGTTCGTCACGCATGAGAGGCGAGTTTACCAGGTGGCTCTCAAATCCTTTAACCCTGAATTCAGAAGAATCGAGGTTCCGACGTGGAGAGTTGCCAACATGACTGAGAAGTTGATCAAGAGGGACCAGGCAGCGCCCTTCGCGCTTGAGACGCCAATGACCAAGTTCCTCTTCGTCGATGCCGGCAAGCAGTCTAACTTGGTCTTGCGGCTTTCCGGGGCTCAGTACGATGATGCGTCCATCTCTCTACTTCTGCAACATCTCAAGAGCATCTACATCGCCCCGTCCTGTCCGCCCCGCAGGGCAACATACTTTGATTTCGTCCGTTCCGCGCAGCTCTCTCATGTCGCCGGCGCCCTGGAGCATTGGACCTCCCTTCTGGACGGTGCCAAAATGACCCAAGTCGTCGCCCACGCTAAGCCGCCTGCTCTGAGCTCCAACATCAAGACCCTTTCCCAAAACGTTTCCGTCATGTCCCTTGCCAACCTCGGTATCTCATTCGACACAGTGGTCAAGTCTGCATGGGCAATGGTCCTTGCCAACCTCTCTGGCTCTGGCGATGTTCTCTTCGGCGAAGTCATTGAGGGCAGACATCTCCGCCTCGCTGACGGCTCCGATATCTCCGGCACCTTGGGTCCCGTTTCCAATGCAATCCCCGTCCGTGTCCGCTTCGCCGAGACACTCAGCAGCCCACTCGAGCTCTTGAAGTACGTTCATGGCCAGCGCGTCATGAGCATCCCTTTCGAGAACATGGGTTGGCTCGAGGTAGTAGAGAAGTGTACCAAGCTTCCCTACTGGACGCGTTTCAGCACTGTTGTCGAGCACCGCCACCAGGATGCCGCCAAGGAGGCCGCGATCTTCAACCTGGGCACAGTCAAGTGCAAGTTCAACATCGTGGAACCAATCAGCCGCGACATGTACGATTTGCACGTTATCTCCACCCAGGACAACCCCAGTTGCGGAGAGATCTCGATTACATTCTGCGAGAATCGCATTCCAAGCTTGTTCGCCAACGAGACTCTCAAGGCTCTCTGCTCCACCATCGAGCTCCTGACCTCTGTGTCGATGCTCCATCCCCTCATCCCCTCGACTGCCGACTACTGTGCCGCCACGCCACAAATCCCTCTCCCTCAGATTGACATGGAGCCAAAGACAACCAACGTTGGCGCAAGCATGTCCGACGACCACCGCACCTCAATCCAGAAGAAAATCTCCAAAGTCTGGACTGAGATCCTTGACCCGCGGTCCCTTGGCGTTCCAGAGAGCCAGCTCCCTAACGCGGCCTTTTATGATCTCTGGGGAAGCATGATGCCCGCTGCGCAGCTATCCCAGGCCCTTACGCAAGAGCTTCCGAAGCTGGGCATCCCGGGCTCACACAACCTGCACATCTCCATGGAGGAGATCATGGCGCACCCTACCATGGCAGAACAGTTCGAGCTTGTCGCACGAAAACTGCGTGACGCCAAGCGACGGACCATATCCGAGGTCTTCTCACCCAAGGCCCATCCGGCATGGGGCCGCAGCCTGCGTCGGCTGACCACCACCATTACTCCCAACAAGACAGTGGAGCGAGGACTGAGCAGCACCTCCGCCAGCTCATCCAGCTCTGTTGACGTCTACCGCAGCTCGACCGCCGTGCAGCAGCCCTTCATGAACTCTATCGCAGAGATGACGAGCGGTGCGCAGCCGAACATCGGCGCAGCAATCACCACTGCTTCGCCCGTAGAGTTGGAGACGGATGTACCTGAGACACAAGCCCCGGCCCAGACCCTGGCCCGCCGCCCGAGGCTGAGTCTTGCAGTCCAGCATGATGGAAGCAGTATGGAAAGCATGACCACAGGAAGCAGCCGCACTACTGATGATGAGGCCGACGCTGAGGCGGAGAATGAGGATGTCGTCAGCCCTATGAGCGCGAGCACGTTGACCACGCCGGCCGTGAGCACGCCAGCTGAGGGGAGCAAGATTCGAAGGAAGGCCGGCAGTGTGTTCAGTCGGATGAGCAGGATCGGGCTTGTCAGCCCTGTGAGTGCCGGGTCTAAAGCGAGTTGATTGATTGATGCTTGTTGTTTGCAAGCGATTGGCGTCAGGTGATGTTTTCGGACATGAAAAGAGAGAGTGGCGTATGGATAATGTCGATAATTTTCATTTGTTTGGGGAAAAGATCAAGAGAGAAAATTGGTAGGCCGTGGCATGAAGATATCCCAATAAATTGTCTTGTCTTTGTTCAACTCGAGCCTGTCTGCTTTGTCTCCATTGCCGCCTGTGATCCTTGCCAGACTTCGTTCTATCAACCATTATTCCAGATATCATACATCGTATCGTCTAATCCATCAAATAACTCGAGGGTATCGTGCATCTAGCTCCGCAACATACTGAGGGACAGGCATCTCCGCCATTCCTGCTGGTCTTCCATCTTGATAACCGTAAAGCTCATGATAGTACGACTGGTACGCATACTTGTCCGGCTCGTACGGTATTGGTGCCCGCGCATCAAAAGCTGGGGGCTCTTCTGAATTGCGAAATTGCCGTCGCCTTCTCCTCCAGAGCAAGAACGCAACGAGAAATATTGCAATGACACCGACACCTACTCCGACCCCAATACCGACAGTCGTGCTAAGCTGCATGCCTTGGGTTACTGCCGTGGGGATCTCTGTTGGGGTGGACGGCAGTATCGTTGGCGTCGGCTCTGTGGGTGCTGTTTGCCGGGGAAGCGCTGAAGCGTCTGTATTTGTTTCTGCTGGTGGGCTGAGGTTGGTTGTTACGGTGGCAGATAAACTGGATGGAGCGCCGGTAGCCCCTGGAAGAGTGTTCCATCCCACAACAGCAATGGCCCCGATGAAAGACTCCCACTCTACGGTGGTGGTGTTCATCCTCCACCGACCCTCTGACACATTAGAAGATGCAAACGTAAGGACGGCGCCAGTCAAAACGTTGGACCGGCAGTCTCCGACAAGAGACCCGACATGGCCATTCGTGTTCGTTAGGGTGTAGTCTCTAAATAAGTCGGTTAGAGAGGACTCGGGAATTGGATGCGGCGTGGCTTACGGCGGACAGCACATTGCCAGCGTACTGACTTCATCTTTCACGTACGAAGCGACGGTGGACCATTGGTAAGGGCATGTCAAAGGTCCGATGCTCATGGCAGTGTGCCCGTCGCCGTTGTAGACTCCGAGTCGCCTTTGCTCCCACCATGTCGTTACAGCGGCCGGTGCGCAACGGACTCTCGTATCGACATCAATTCCGAAGCCTGGGTCATAGGCTACTATACTGAAGCCGTTGAGTCGGAAGACGGTTGAACAACTCGATGGCGGGGTAAAGACCGTTGGGAGCGCGATGAAGGATGTGATTTCGCCGGATGCATTCGTCTCCGCAGGGTATGGCTCAGCCATCTTGTCGCCGAAGAGAGAAACAGCCTATGGAATAAATTAAAAGAAGGATGAAAAGTATAGTTAACGTAAAGATCGTGATTACTTCTGGTGTAGCAAAGATTTTGGAAGAAGCACAAGGTCAAAGCCGGGCATGATCTGCCCGACTTACACCGTCTATGGATCACATTTACTGATGCGCTCCGTGACCAACAGGCAGACGACTGAAGATAAGGTCTTTCATCGTCTGCCGGCGCGCTGGCGGCTGCGACTCTTCTCTAGCGATGAAGACATCTCATGGCCCGCCATAAGGTCCATTGCATCTGCTGAAGTGCGGCGCAGGTTTTAGCTAGGCGCCAGTCGGGCTTCTTTCAACCTTGGACTCATCTCACGATGCTGTGTTCCCACCCGAATCTTCGTTGTTGGTGCAGATGATCAACGCACCAACACTCATGTTAATCGTTGGAAGCAAACATGAATTCATGCCAAGGAAACCGAAATGGGGATAGGCCACGGGCGCATACTTATTTCACACTGGTTTACGCGCTGTTGTCCCCTTTTGAGGCAATGCTGCAGCAGTTCTACCAATCATCAACAACGGCCCCAAACGGCGACCGTAGCGCGCGGGAGAGAACCAAGAGAAACCCATGCCAACCAACCATCGATTTATGGGGTCTCGACGAGTGAAATCTCTTCGTTGGTTCGAGAAAACAACATCGCACTGGTCTTTGTCTTTTTTAAGGTCATTGCCTCGCCCAACCAGCTCCTCGGTATCCAATAGCGTCAGCCAGCTCGTAATTGCTCAGGTGATGTTTACCTGAGCAGGAGTGCCAACTTCAGATTGCAGGAGATGATGACCAAAAGACCGGTCTACCGGGGATCTGCGCCGGTCCAATGCCATGCGGCCATGGCTTCTATGCTACCAACACATTTGAAGTAGCCGCCGACGGCCTCGGCGATCGAAACATCGGGATGCTCGCGGCAGGGACCGCTGTCGCGGACGCTAAGCGCCGTAGCGTCCCGGAGCCCTATTGGAGGCTATCCGTCACTCTCCCAAGATTCATCATGTACATATTCTTTGCTGAACCGAGGGCACTGCGGTTGTTCTTGTCCGCTCAACTCTTCATCATTCAGTGCCATTTGATATGGCGTCATCACCAACCAGACGCGGACGACGAAGTTCGTCAGCAGATTCAGTCTACTCGTCCTACTCTGCCTCCAAGACCACCGAATCAATTGGCGACGACATTAGAAGAGCCAGGCGCTCATCCCACCATAGCAGGAGAAATATGCAGCGCACAATTCGCAACGTCATAATCATGCTATGCTTTATTGGGCTAGCAAGTATGTTCGTTGCAAGCTACTTCTCAGATCATGCCCTTGGGTGCTCGCAATTTTCACCACATTCCCAATTCGTTGATTGGGACGCTCGGAGGGAAGAAGTCAAAGAAACCTTCGTCATCAGCTGGGATGCATACAAGAAGCACGCTTGGGGTGAGTTCTGCTGCATTCTGTAGTGACCAGAAGCACATGCTAAGCTTCCAGGTAATGATGTGTTCCACCCACTTGCAAAGACGGGCAGGAACATGTCCCCATCAGGCCTAGGATGGATCATCGTTGACAGCCTCGACACAATGATGCTCATGAACTTAACAGAGCCCCTTTCTGATGCACGCAAGTGGCTTCATCGCAGTCTCACCTGGGACCAGGACCAAGATGTCAACACTTTCGAGACCACGATCCGCATGCTGGGTGGTTTACTTTCCGCGCATTATCTTTCGACGAAACTGCCTCACGTTGCGTCAAAGAGAGACTCTGTGTACCTTGCCAAAGCAATCGACTTGGCGGACCGGCTGCTTGTTGCTTTCGACAGCAACTCAGGCATCCCTTATGCTAGTGTCAACATCGGCAAGAGGAAGGGCATCCCATCCCATTCCGATGGTGGCGCTTCTTCGACGGCAGAAGCGGCTACAGTGCAGTTGGAGATGAAATATCTATCACATCTGACAGGGAACGATGTGTACTGGAAAAAGGCCGAGCATGTGATGAAGGTACTTGATGACCAGAAGATGGAAGGTGGTTTGTTACCGATCTTCGTGCATCCCAATCATGGTCGCTTCACTACAAGAGAGATTCGGCTCGGAAGTCGGGGTGACTCATACTATGGTGAGTAAGGTGTCCTCTTGTTGTTTGTGCTGTTCTAAATCAGGAGCAGAGTATCTCGCCAAGCAATACCTCCAGACGGGAGAGACGATCTATCGTGACATGTGGGAAGACGTACTGGATGGGATTCAAAAGCATCTTGTCACCACAACACGCAATGCTGCTTTGAAGTACATCGCTGAACTTCCCGCGGGTGTTGGAGGTGCTCTCTCGCCCAAAATGGATCATCTCGTTTGCTTTCTTCCTGGTACTATTGCTATGGGTGTGAGTATTTCCAAGTCAGCCCTTTACATCCATGTCTGACCATGCACCTAGGCTACGGAGGGCCGAACGTTGGCCGAAGCTCGTCGCGATCCGGAATGGACGCCCTATCATGAAGATGATGTGCAACTTGCCATCGAACTCATGAAAACCTGTTGGGGCATGTACGCTGTCACAGGCACTGGACTTGCGCCGGAGATCGCATGGTTCAACGCCACAGAATACGACCTGCAACCGAACCCTGGTGATAGAAAGCAGCGTAGTGCTAGTAGCAGTAAGCATTTTCCCAGTGTATGTGGGCCTTTTCTGACATCTTCCTGCAGCACTGTCGAACTGGCACAAAGACTTTATCATCAAGCCTCTGGATGCGCACAACCTGCAGAGACCCGAAACAGTTGAAAGTCTCTTCATGATGTACCGCGTAACTGGCGATTCAATGTACCGAGAATGGGGTTGGAAAATCTTCCAAGCCTTTCGGGAGCACACTATGGCCCCTGACGGAGAAGGCTTCACGAGTCTCAATGATGTGCGAACAGTACCACCATCAACAAGAGACAACATGGAGAGTTTTTGGCTGGTAAGAAATGCATGATGAGTCAATTATAGTGATCTGAGCTGATACAGCGTTCTACAGGCCGAGACTCTGAAGTACTTATACTTGCTGTTCTCTCCAACAGATTACATGCCTTTGACTGAGGTCGTGTTCAATACCGAAGCACACCCCTTTCCTCGATTCACTCCGACGGGGACTATGACAACTGGGTGGGAGAGGTCGCCACGGTGAGAGGAGAAAAAAATAGGAATGAAAAAAAAATAAACCCCCCATTGACCAGAAATCGCTACAAAACTGTGTATCATGTAGTTTGTACGACTTATGAATAGACAATAAGATTTTTTTTCAAGGCGATACACCTTGATTATATTCTCACGAGAGGCTCCTCAGAAATGGCACTAGGACACACAGAACGGGGTGGCTGTACTCAAGGTATCATGCCTCGCTGTCAAGTTCATGTTGTCGTACCTTCAACAGGGAATGAAATCAATGGATTTTCATACAGAACATCAACCTTAATTTTTCATGATAGCATGAGATCGCAAACAGATACAATGGTGCCGGGATTAATCTGCGGAAGCCGCTTTTTCGCTGCTAACAGGTGAAGATAACCCGGGATTGGTGGGATGCTGTAGCCCAACTGATTGGATCACTTCCAACACGCTCGCTACCGACGGCCCCGGCGGTGCTAGCGGTTTTGAGATATTCTCCCCGGCCGACGCTTAAATGCCCGGGGTGTCACTGCAGGATGTGCTTAGTCAAACCAGTTCAAATGCGGTTGTGATGCCCGTTGCCGAGGTTGCGGCGTTTGGCGAGCTGCTTGGCGGTTGGGCTCGAAGGTGGTTGGTCACCAATGATCTGGTTATCGCTGAGGTGGCGCGATGAACCCTTCAATTCTGGTCTCATGGTAACGATATCTCGAATCGTTGCCTCTCTCGTCGAAAAAGATGACCTCGCGCCGCCTTGTGATGCCTGTCGAGGCATGCACTTCGGTCGTTTCTTATGCTGAAGGCGGATCAGACGTCTACGCCAACGAAAAGTACGTTAGAAATGAGATCCGTCTCTATTTCTACGCTGGTGCATAGTAAGATCTGGCTAACAAACACAATCAGTCGCCCATGGGATCCTCCTTCAGAAGCGCGAGGCATCTTTGGGGGCTTCTTACTTGCTCAGTCAATCCGTTCTGCCCAGGAGACGCTGCCATCCTCGGAATACTACGTGCATTCCCTTCAGTCAACCTTTATACGCCAAGGTTCTAAGGACTCTAGACTTGTTCATCATGTCGAGAGAGTTGCAGATGGACGGACCTTTGCCACCAGAGTCGTGCGAACCATTCAAAATGACAAGTCCATATTCATGGCATTCATCAGTTTCCAGAAGTATACAACGAAGAAAGATCCATCAAATATCTTCGAATACGGGACGAAGATGCCGAGCATGAATGGGAAGTCTCCAGAGGACATCGAACCCGGCTACAAAGCGATCAAAAGCTACATGGGTATTCCTCCGAACATCGTAGAGGCCCTGCCGAACCCGTTTGACTGGCGTTTTCTGCCCTACGAAACTACCGCCGACCCGACCAGATTCGAGTCGCTTAGTTTTGTACGCGCCCCGAAAGTTTCGGTTGACTCTCAAGCTGTTCATCTCTCTGCGCTGGCATACCTGACAGATATCTGGACCCTATCTGTGCCTCATATGGCCTCAAATGCAGAGTTTGGCAAAATGAAAGGCACGCCGGGAATGCAAATCACTTTGAACCACTCGATAGTCTTCCACGACCCGAACGCAAAGGTAGACGATTGGATGGTATGTCTAAGGACCACGGAATGGGCTGGCGACGGGAGGGTTCTCATCACACAGAGGCTTTGGAATGCGCAGAATGGGACTCTGTTATTGTCTTGCACTCAGGAAGGTCTGATACGATATGCCAGGCAGCCTGTGAAAATTTGACCTGGTTATTTTTATGTGAAGTAGAAGGCATTGAATCGAATAGAACACTGTCGTTGAACCAGATCTTCAGAGCTGCTCTTCTCCCCTGTCCCCTGCAGTGTCGACGTTTTAAGGTTTCCGGGTTGTGACGATACTGTCAACATGGCACAGGGAGTGGACTGTAGCGACTTGTCTCTGCGCATGACTTCGTCAGCTGTAAAGCTTCCTTCTTCAAATCGTAGAAGAGAAGGTTTCTTTACTGGCCACCACAAGTTTCTGGAGTAGAAGGACGCCTAACATTGACTTTTCACTATGTGAGTATCTTCCACACGAAGAGGAAAAGGTCCGCAAACTCGGGCTGGGCCTCTTCTTCTTGGCGTGCGTTAATAACCCCGAGTATCCCAAGAAATCCAACCTGTTCCCACCGCTCTACACCGCTACACACTGCCGCATAAGGGGCTCTTACCTCCTGTGTGGACTGGAGAAGTGGGCTCCAGTGAACTTCCAATGAAGGATAGTACGAAAATTCCCGGCGCGGAAATTGGAATTGAGAGTGCCACCATTAGTCTGTTGAGAGGGAAAAAGGCTGGTCAAATCACACCAGCCCAGCAAAAAGAGAACACAAACTTGACGGGGGTGGCAAATACTAAGGGGTCCCGGGGGACCGCCGGTAGATGCGATCCGACAAGATTGCACGGACACCAACAAGTCACGAAACAGGCCTTTCAACACTCACAGCTTCTCATAGTGAATGAAGAAGAGCGTGTAGGTAATTTACTGTTGCTTGTACCATTTTAATGCAACGTGATCTAGGGTCTACTCCAGATCTCTTATCAAAGGAACTGATCCCGGAACCATCCGACAAGCCATATTGAATAGGGGTTTTCCAAAACTGTCACCCTCCATATTTTCATGGTCACTTATCTCTTGTTGTCTCTTTCATAGGACTTACAAATGATGCGTCGACTCGTTCCGGTCAAGTCCGATGTTATTCAGGGAGCCATCAACCTGGGTTTGGGCTATGAAGTTGCCTTCCAATGCGACAGTGGGTGTGGTCAGGGTAAACGGCAGTGCAGAAACATCGACGTCCCCTGAGAAGTTGAAAACTCACTACGGAAGCCTCGCTCTTTTATTCACGCTAGTTGGGGTTACTGAAATTATTAAGAGCCCGAGAAGATGCACGTATTTACAGAGCAGGGAGAACGCTGCCCTAACATACGATTTCGACGGAACCGAGATCGAGCAGAGTCTTTGGACCGGTCTGGGTCGCATGAATTAGCGAACGGGAACCTGCATCTCCTTTCAGCCTTGGATATCTTCTGGAAGGACCCCGACTATTCGGTTCGTATGCGGCAACCCGTTCGTCGTGGGCTCTTCCGCTACCCCGGGTCAGGGGCCTCGTGCCATCAACGCCACAGTAAAGAACGACATTCCTCATGAGTTCCGGCGACTTTCTCGGTGCGTCTCTTATTTCCGCGCATTTGCCGCCTTTGTCACAGCCTGAATATGACATATCGCTTCTCGTTGCCAAACTTCAGGTGGCTGTTCACTCCAGTCATCGCCCGCACCAACCAGACCCAGAAGTCATCCTAGCTCGAACCAAATCCGCTCAGTTCCCGGGCGAAATAGATTTCCAGCGACTGCTATCACACCGCCAAGATGTCAATGCCGGGGTTGCACGTCCGGGGGGGAAGAGAAGAACACAAACTCCCGCTCCGCCATGATCACAATTCGCAACATGACTTCCAAAAGCAGTAAACGCGATCCCTGCGCATGCATTGACTCGGTGTGAATTATGTGGCACTCAGACGATACAAAGGATGTACTCATTTACCATCTGGGCGGCAACCAATCCCAAGTCTCGTTGGAACTCGTTCTGACGCAAGGGTCCAGGTTGCTTTCTTTCGAACCGACGCCAACGAACCAATCCCGAGGAGAGATACAGCAAGGGGTAGGGCCGCCATCCAACGACAACGCTCTCTTGACGACCCGCAGCAACCCCTCCCGCCAGGCTCGGACTTTGAACGTCCAAAGTTGAGATTCTTCCCCTCGAGCCCCTGCTGTAAATCACACAAGCCCATTGTTGAAGCAGAACAATGGCTAAGGAATGTGTTTGTATCCACCTGCTATCATGGATCCGGAAGTCCAGGCAGCCAAGCCCGGTCAGAAGCAAACATTGAATGAAGACCCGCCAGGTGACACGGATGAAGTTTTTCGGACGGACCTCTAACCAGGCTAGGGGCCGAAGAAGCCGACGAGATGAAGTGTAACTCCCATGGAAATAAGGCCAATGATGTCTAGCTCATTCTGATAAAAATGTAAGGTGGGATTCGTGAGCTGGCATACATCTCTCGAATTGACGACGCCGACGCTGGTGTCTCGTGCCGTGCCTGCAGGCGCACTGCAATGAGAATCAACGCAGCATGGGTGGGATGGGATTGACTGATGGCCGTCATGTGGTGTTCCACATTTCACCTACCACCGGCCTACACTTGGCAAAGTGACACTCCATGTGTTCACCGGCAATCTCATTGGGATCGGTGCAGGCTTGGATTCTGGGCATTCGCGGCAGCCAAGACCCATGTTCTCATGGTGACCCGCGATCATGGTGGTCTTCGATCACGAACGCCTCTCTTTGGAGCAATGATGGGCAGGTTGAGATGTGAGCGATAAGTCCGATTGTATCATCATTGACCTCTAAACCTACAACGGTCCTTGTACTCCGATTAGATCCATAACCGTTTTAAATGCCATTTATCTTGCCAGTCACCGTTCGCGATCACTACCCAGGGAGTTCGAGCTGTTCTTAGTTGTAGGAATCGAACAGCTGCTGATACTTCTCCCTGTCTGCATCGTTGCCAATCCAGACATCCTTCTTGTCATCCACCACCTCAAAGTGAGCGCCCACGAAGGAAGCGACCTGACCGCCACCAAAGGCAGACTTGTCGATGAAGACGCCTTCATCAGGAAGAACCACCTCAGTATAGTACGGGTGAGAGATCATAGCAGCGAGATCGTCAGGAGAGCGGTAGAGAAACATCGCAACTCCATCGAACTCGACAGGAACATCAGAGGCAGGCTCAGTTGCACCGGCCTCGGTAGGGAGTACGAGTCCTCCAATGCGGACCTGTGACGGGTAAGCGAGTGTTCCAGACGTGGCCTAGATAGGATAGTGGATGGTGAGAAGTGAATCACGAACCTGTTGGTAACGCGAGATGTTGAAGTAGGACGCCAAGGGAGCGACCTTGGGTGCATGCTGGGTATACCAGTAGTCCCAGAATTCAGTCTGCGTGTAGTTTGGGTGACGTTTGACGTGGGTCAACATCTGCGTGAGACCGTTTCTCGTGCAGATCGCCACGCTGCTGGCGAAAAGCATGGCGGCAACAGTGAAGGGGACGATGCGAACCATGATGACGATCAACAGGATAGAGAGAGAACTAGGGGTGTGATGTGGGCAAGATCGAACGGTTGGAGGGTAGATTGCGAAGATTCACGAGTCGCTGGATTTATCCGGGACGATCTTGACACAAGAAGAGGACCGTAACGTACCATTTAAGGACTCTCAGACCCAAGGCGGTGCAAGTGTATCTGTCGACCTTTGGGTAGGTGGCGTCTCCTTCGGGAGAAGAACTCCGTGGGAATCATAACAGCTGGACTGGAATATTGGATATCCGGCCGGAACCTCTGAATTGGTATTGTTTGCTTCCTCCGGTGAGCCGCAGCTCCCTGCCAGATTCATGCGCAAGGAATATGGTAAGCACTGCAGTCCCATCTGGATTGGCCCAATTTCTCTTCCAGCAAGCAAACACGGTGAACCAGCTCCCCTGGTAGTCGGAACATGGGTCTCCGATCTTGCACCAACAGTCTCGTGGACTGCAAGCATTGATAGCCCTACCTACCGGCCGTAAGCTTTTGCAATCTACAAGCCAAAGCAAACAGGCGTGACTTTTGGGCTGTTCAGAAGGAGGTCTGGAGTTGAGATATTGTCTCTTTTGATGAACACAATACCACAGACCCGAGACCCCGGGAATTTGGCTTGATGGTCCCCGATATTGATAACACCATCCAACGCCCGACTGGTATTCTGACGGCTTGCGAAGTGCTTGGAAAGGATTTTGCAATCACGACAGTTGGATATAATACACCTAGCAGGTCTCGAACAGACGCACTGTCACAGATTGGTTTGTGCTTCTTCTTCTTCTCTTGAGCTCAACCGGTTTGTCCGTGCCATCTTCAGTCACTTTCAGCCTCTCCTTGGCCGTTCTTACCCAACACCGGTACATTCCTTCTCGCTTCTCTCTGCCTTTCTCGTTCTACACCGCCGCCCTCGCCGCAATCCTTTGGCGACGTGATCGCCCCGTGGCCCGTTCTGATGGCTATCGAATACCCAGTCACGAATGGCACAACCACAGTGATGTCGCCTCCTGAAGGCTATGTCGTCGACTTTGAGAACCCGCAGCGGCAGAGTGTGTTGGAACACTACCTGGTGTTTGGCATCTTGGGTCCACTCGCTCTGGTATGCCTAGTCCAAAGGTTTTATACCAAGTTGGTATTTTCGGATGGCCCGAAGATCGATGATGGTGAGCCCGAAATAACTCTCGCTGCCAACGCGTAACTCCGACTGATCGTGATTGCTATCTTTAGCATTGATGCTCGTTGCCTGGGTAAGTTCACCAAGACGCGAGTTTGCTCGTGTCACTTTTGTCGCCAGTCACTGACTCGTGAGGTCAGATATGCTCCATCGCCATGCAATCTTTACAAACCTGTAGGTCAGAATCCTTTGCCTGCAAAGACTTCGGCTAAGCAAAAGACGCTAGGGTCTTGCGCGATTGGCGGCTTGGGTCACCACGCTTGGGAAATGTCCCTTGATGTCTGGGCCAAGCAGGCCCTCGTAAGTCTTCTGAACTCGACACAGGTTGAGGCATTTACTGACATCCTTATGTCTTCAGGTTAGCTACATCGTCGCTCCGATATTCATCTGCGCCAACGGGTCAACGAAAGCTTCGCTATTCTTCGCGTATCTCAAGATCTCCCCTCTTCCATGGTATCGCCGAGCAATCACCGCAGGCATAATAATGGTATTTTGCTATACCGTTGTGATTGCTTCGATGCTCCTGTTTGGCACGTGGCCGATTCGTGCAAACTGGGATCCCTATGTCGAGGTGTCGGAAACACACAGACCGCTGAACAGCGCGATGCTTTACATGGCTATTGCTACGTCAAACATCGTGTCCGATGTTGTTCTCTTTTTAATCCCTATTCCAATGGTGCTGCGTCTTCAGATGCGCCCCGTTGTCAAAGTCGGCGCCTTGATCATGTTTGGAATCGGTTCCCTGTAAGTCTGCTTCTCCAAAATTGCACTGTAGCCCATTTTTGACTCGAGTTCCAGGACTGTCACGACATCAGTTGTTCGCATGGTTTATCTCCAAGCCATGCTCAAATCCACAGATACGGCTTGGGTTGCCGCGCCCGCCAACGTCTGGTCGTGAGTACCCTGTCTCTTTTCATTCTATACCGTCACGGCGGACAGCTCACTGATACTTTGAGATCCAGATTCGTCGAAGTGAATTTGTTCATCATCTGCGGCTCGATGCCTACATTGCGAAGGTTCTTCAGGTCCATCGCGCCCAAAATCATGGGGTCCTCACACGACATTTCACGCGTCAAGCACGCCGGACCATCCAATTCCTCTCGCGGGCCTCGAAGCGAGTATTCGCAATTCGACACGCATTCCCACTACGATGTTGAGATGAACAGCATGTCGAGCCAGCAAGTAATTTTGGAAGAAGATAAGAGCGCAGTGCGCCATGCAAACTTCGAAGTCAAATCACAGTAATACTAAGGTACGACTATTGGATATTTTGGAGTTGGAGGATCCAGCGTTTTCTTTTTTTCATGATGTACTGGGCGACTATGCGTATGAATGGTAATTTGCATGTTGATCGGAAGGGACATAGAGCAACTCAGACTCGTTGTCGAGCCTCATGGGCAAGGAATGAACAAGCGTATATTTCCGGTGTGCGACACGGAAAAGTCAGCGATGCATTTTGAATCAAAACACTTTTTCTCTCACTCAAGTTCCTTCGTCATTGCTGTGAATACCCAGTCTGTTGTTCTCCAGGCCTATTCAAGATCGATCAGCGTCCATACGATAATCTGGTCCTAGTTGAAGGATAGCGCTCCCCTGTCTTCATCAGACATGAGAGTGTGCCGACATGACAAAGGACCTCGCATCGGCCCCCAATCGATCGACACATTTAAGCATTTCCCCCGATCGGAAATGCTCCGGTTTGGCCGGAATTTTGGCCCGATAAAGTGGGTTCACTCACGGGCCACCCCCGCTGATGCCGATCACCAAGTTCGGCCGAGCGCCGGAGAACATGGATTTCTTCGGCTGGGCAACGAAAGTGGGAACCCCCTTGAATGGATGGCACTTTATCAATACAAGAATGAAGTCGAGCTGGATGTTTGTAATGATATCGCATTACGTAGCTCTGGGGTAGCTCTGTGATAGCTTCCCAAATGCCATTCTGAAGTCAAAACCACAACGCGTCAGCAGTGTCGAATCCTTAATTTCACCACAGCAACATGTGGTCTTGATGAACCTAGCGAGGGGCTCTCTCAACGAAAAGCAACACCATTGCTATCGGCTAGGTCCTCTATGATGTGATTCAACATTCGTTTGGCTAAATTTGTCAACTTCAGCCCCAGTTCGGCGGTTCTCATCCATGCAATTGGTATTCTGGTGGTCAATTGTGGCCGAGCTTTGGGCCTCTATCTCTGCCCTCCGCACAAGCGCCTTTGCGTGGTGTCTTCAACCTATGTCATAAGTGAAAGGATGTCTGGGCATCAATCACAACGTGGGTGCAACTGCGGATAAGCCAGGAATTGTGAATTGTCCATGCATCTTGCCAATAGAATTGTGCTATCAGTATGCACTTGGCTACTCAGCGGAACCGTATTTTGTGCATCATAAGCATCAAATGAGCCACTTACGGATACATTAATACCTATGCTAAGTCTTTGAGCATGCATTTCCACCAATCAAACCAAAGGCTGCAACGACTGCTCTTGCCAAGAGTCTGCATTATTTTCATCCAATGCTACCAACCCTTAACAATCCCTCCACCCGTCCAACCTGTGGCTTAATCGACATTGCACAATTCAGAATAAAAGTCGAAATACGAAAAAGAAACAGCCTAAGTTGACAGTGGGACTCTCTCGTCCGTGCCTCTGACCCGCATTTACCCGCCGCGATCCCGCACAGCTTGGCCAATTTACCTGCGTCCGTGTTGGAATGGTTGCGAAGATCAAAAGGCATGGATCCATGGGTGGCCGCTTACAAGTCGCTTACAACCCTGCTGACCACTGACTCTTCTACTGAACCGAACCACCCGACTCGCTCGTTCTTCCTGGAACTTTAACAGACAGACAAAAGAAAACATTTTGCTGCTTTATCCGCCGTTGAATCGGAAACTTCGCCGGGGTAAACCTGCTGCTTTAGCCAGTCCATCGTTTCAATCTGCCTGTCACACTTTGGAAGGCACTCATTCCCAAATCATCTACTTCTTTGGCAACTGCATGGGCAAAAAGAAAGCAACCATGGCAAAATCGACGGCGGCCAAAGCCCTATTCAGAGTAGTCAAACCTGCCCGCCACAAAACTCGCAAGTATCATACCGAAATGGTGAATCCTCCGCCAACAGCAACCCACATAAACCCCATCAGAGCTTGCATAGTCTGTGAGGCGCATCTGCAGCGGCCCCAGTATTAGATGACTGCATTTGGTCCATCACCCCTTGTTCCAAGATGGACATAACGTGATTTCGCACTTCGTACCTTCAACTTCTTGGTCCAGACGCTGTTCTTCCGTGATTCGCGACCCGGCTCGATCCTTTGGATTTGCAGCCGCTCAATTTCCATGATCGCTCTACCAATGAGCACCAACGAGCAGATAAACTCTATTGCCACCCCCTGGCGGCACGAGTCCTTCGCTTGACCAACGCCGGCATCATCCCAGGTCGGTTCCAAGTGTCCGTACCTGCAGTTCTGCAGCTCTTAGCCTGAGACAGTCGATGAAGCCCCCAAAACTAGATGTATCCAATGTTATACCTAAGCGATGCCATCAGTTGTGAAGACGGCGTTCGCCCGAGGTGCCGACTAGCCATGCCGTTGAAAAGTTAAATCCAAACGTACTCGCTAGGAGTTTCTTCTGTTTACCAGTTCAGCTCATATATCTCCAATGTGCCATCCGACCTTGATACCTGTTTTCTGAGCACATTGTCGACACCCTCTGAGTCCGAAGGCCGCCCATCATGGCGGGTGTCGCAAAAGAGGCCGTTGTGGTAAGTCAGCCCTATCCACACTCCGCACGTGCATCCCCAGATCTGCGTGTTTGCTACAGTGTTTGCTTGCTAACACGAGACACGGGCCAGCCCATCGAGGCCACTCTTCTGAGCCTAGCTATCGTCTTCGTCTTTGCTCGTCTTTTTCTCCGACTTGTCCGACAGCGTCAAAAGCTCACTCTCAGCGATTGGATCCTGATTGCGTCTCTATGCGATGCCATTGCCCTGTTCACAACCGATGCGATGGCGTACAACCTGGGTGGCATGGACGAGTACGACCCAAAAGCACCGGAGCCACCCGTGGCAGACCAAATCAAGTTGATGAAGGTTTCATTCGCGGGCAACTACTTTTACGACACCGGCATTTACATCCCCAAGTTGGCCATGTTAGCATTCTACTTCAAGCTCATCCCCAAAACGATGCCACTGCTGCGGAAGGCTCTCTACGGAGTCAGCGCTCTGACGTTGACATTCGCTGTAACAACGTGTTTCTTGGACACCTTTTGGTGTGGTCCAAATGTGTCAGTCAATTGGGATCTCAAGGGTACTTGCAGTACTTTTGATTCCAAGGACGTCTTTCGGATTGATTGGGTCTTGAACTTCATATCAGATCTCCTGAGTAAGTCGCCATGATCTCCGCCTGTGTGCGACATTCTTGTGTGTCCAGTCACTGACAAAACAATAACAGTTTTTGCGATCCCGTTTCCCCTCCTACATGGCCTTCAACTTAGCAGGCGCTACATCATCGGTTTGATTGCCACGTTCTCGACTGGTATCATCACAATCGGAGCAAGCGTAGGCCGTTTTGCTACCGTGGAATCCATCAAAGCGTGGACCAATGTTTGTAAGTTGTCAACAAGCAGGAGAACATGCCGAGCTCTTGTGCTGACATGGAATCAGACGTGCTGTCCATGACTGAGGTATCAGCCGCCATTCTGGTCGTGTCCTTGCCTGCACTCAAATCGCTCCTCCACCGTCGGGGGCTCAGCACATCAAAGTACGGGACAGCCCAGTCAGGCTCTGCGGGTTTGGGATACAGCAAGCATCCAACGGCCAATACCCACATCAAGCTTTCATCGGGAAGAGATCCGTACATGGCAACAACTCGCGTGGCCGCCGAAAACGAATCTGGGAGTGAGGTGGAACTCAACACTTTCAAGCGATCGGATGTGATATACAAGTCGGAACGAGTTAGCGTAACCTATCAGCGACGCGAGGATGGAGAAGGAGATGAAGCCAAGGCCGGACCCAGATACTAGTTAATCACGCGTGAAGGATCTTGATGGTCTGAGAATCATTTGAGGACCTGGAGTCCGATGGGAAGAACAAAGTTTCTGCGAGGTACCGAATACAAAATCATTTGCAAGAGTGGAGAAAGCTGTATGCTTTGGTGAACTTTTGCAGACGCTCTGCGCGAGAGACGGAACCAACAGGATGACCAACAGGGGGCCAAAAAGCGCGAGGCCTGGAGCTACAGCATGCGGGAATCGCCCGGGCCCGCCGGTCCGAACGGAAGAGAACCGAACGACCAATGGCCGGCTTTCTTTGTGTGGGAAACGATGCCCAATTCAGGCTCGCTTCGACCGCGTATCTGCGAATATGCGGCACAGTCGCGCAGAGAAATTGGGCAATCCTACCTCAACCCGTAAACCTACAGATATTAGAAACCAACGACCTTGTCCTGACACACCAGAGGGGCGAAAAAAAAGAATAAGAAATAAAAAAGGGTCCTGGGCTGATTTATGCACCAACGGGTGGCGCTCTTTCGTGCAGAATCTGCAGAGTTACTGGTGCGCCTGCCGATGTTGGCGAGATGCTCGCCATCAACGGTCGCAACAGTCGATTAAGCCTCCCCGGTCTCCGCCTGCCCCTTGTTGCAGACTCAACCTTGCCAAATCCTCGGCGCATCCAACCGAGAAGAGTCGTTGTGATCCTGGGCCAATAGAATATCTTCCATGCATAGCATGCTGACAGAGCTTTCCGACATTCACCGTGGGCGGACATTTTCTCCGTGGCGTTATATGGGATCGCAGTCCCGCCTGTCTCAAAACTCTGACAGCAGTGGTACTCGCATTGTCAAGTTTCTTTTCCTCTTCGTCCGTGATTTGAGGCATATCAGACAAGATGGCGTACTTCATCGACGGAAAGGACTGCATGGTAAGCTGACCTGACCCAAGTGATTGACCAAAGTTTTACACATCCTAACCACACGCATCCAGATATCCGAATGGATTCTGCTGGCGGTTTCCTATGTATTCGTTGGCCTCCGCGTCTACGCCCGCCTCTTTCGTCTCCGTGAGAAGCTGGCGGTATCGGACTGGATTCTGATCCTGTCGGCGATCAACGCTCTCGGTCTTATCATTTGCGACACCCTGACCTACCAAATGGGTGTTCTAGACGATTGGGCCCCATCTGTTGCGTTGTCCAAAGTAGGTTCTTACGAGCTACCGGATTACCTACGCTTTTAACAATGCTGACGTTTGGTGGAGATCTCCTTCGCCTCCAACTACTTTTACGATGTCGGAATGGGTTTCCCGAAGATGAGCATGCTGGCGTTCTACTGGGCTTATTTCCCCGCCGACACTAGCCCCATCATGCGCAAGGCCCTTTGGGGCATCACTGCCTTCGTCGGCATCTCTTACATGGCAATTCTCTGGGATGATACCTTCTTCTGCGGCAGGGATGTCTCCATTCAGTGGTCGCAGGAGGACGGTGCTTGCAGCGTCTTTTACGCGCCCGAGCCTTTCATCCTCAACTTTACGCTGAACCTTGCCTGCTACCTCGCAGGTAAGCAAGTTTCATTCTCTGTTTTCAGGAAATCTTCGGGGCATACCTGGATACTGACCAGAAATTCGTTTAGTCTACGCTCTCCCACTTGCACTCTTGATCCAGGGTGTTTTGCCAGCCTCGAAGGGTCTCACCCTGACATTCGGCCTCGGTACCTTGACCATCTTCACTACCATTGTTCGTTTCATCACGCTGAAGGTTGGCACTGGTCAGGAGAACCTTGTTTGTAAGTGGACTGTGGCGTCAGAAATGTCTTCTATCTTTCAACATTCGCCTAACAATTGTACAACAGACCCCATGAGCATGGTGGAGATGACTCTTGCCATCACCGTTGTTGCCCTTCCCGGATTGAAGCCTTTGATCGATCGTTCTTCGAAGCGAGAGTCCTCCGTAGATACCGTCGAGGTCACGAACCAGGACAAGACGTTTTCATGAAAAGCCATGTGACAAGAAACGACCGATTGCGATACTTAGAAGGGGGCCTCTGATTTGAGAATCAGTGGCTAGACCAAAGACGTGCATGTTTTGTTGTCACAGACGCAAAGTTTATGCCTTGGCTATGTAAACTTATATATGGGCTACTTTGAAGGCTGAGGAAAACCTTAGTCGGCATGATAGTTACCCGTACGCCAAATGGCATTTCACAAGCGTTAGATAGTGGAGAGCAAATAGTGAAATTTTAATATTCCCTCTAGAGCGTCTAATGCTCAGTCGTGAGTCGTGACAGGGGATGTTTTCGTTGTCAACGGTGTAGTTGAAATCATTTATCGACAAATCCCTAAGAGTAGACGGTTGTTGGTTTGCCAAACGAGGTCAAATATTATTGACATTGACACCACGAGATGCTTTGCGTAGATTCTTCTACAATTTGTACGGGTTCAATGGGTTGATTTGTCTTTTTTGTTTTTTCCCTTGAAGAGACTGAATTCCATCTAGGCTGAATACCCATCGCCTAATGACAAGTTCTTTATCATATCACCACTACCCCCAAGGAAGTATTTCAATTTCTTTAAACACTTCTTATGCTGCCCTTACTCTAATTTCCCTTTCTGATATCTGATTTTCGCCCTTATCGGTCTCTCTGGACATGGCTTCAGACAGCCGACTCTATCCGGCCGGTCCGACGGTCTCCCGAGTCCGGAGCTGGTCCCACTTCGAATTCGGCCAGCCCCCGGTGCCGAGTGAAGTCCAAGACCTACCGGCTGCCGCAGATGGCAAACGGCAATATCGACAGACCTACGCTGTATAGTTTTCATGGAAGGGAATAGGTACAGAAGAGCATGAGCTACACTGCGACTTTGTTGGCACCATGGTCCATGCTTTGTATTCGCCATTACAAGTATTGAAACCCACGATGTAGACATTTGCGCTGAGCGTTCTTACTTCTCCTACCGCTGCTTTACCACAACTCGACTTACAATAGTATTCAAAAAGACTACTTGCTAAGTACGATCCTTATTACGACCCTACGATCTTGGTCACATCATTGTGTACACGCCATGCCAGAACCTCCGGTAAATCCTCATATTTTTACGAAATCAATAAATATGACCCAATACTTCCATGCAAGGGCATCCAGTTACAGCGTATGTCCATCACGTCGGGACGACTTAAACCGGAAGTCGAGGCGGCAACATCTTCAATGGCTACACACAAAATAGGCCGGTGACACGACTCAACTTACCGTAGCCTTCTTCGGGAGACTTCGGCACGCCGACTGCTTTTCGGGCTATCATGCACGCCGAAAGCTTCATCCCAAATATCTCTCTTCTCCTGGCTGGCATCTAGGGGGCTGGGCAGACGCCTCCAGACCTGCGAGCGAGAAATTCTCCGCTAGTAGGGTGAGATGTCTTTCTTGCCATCGCGTACTAAGACTCATTTCAACTATGTTCTATTTGCGATTTAAACATCCTCGTTATCAAAAAAGTACACGTGATGAACCCATGATGTCTGACCAGCTCTACAGCCTGGTTAAGCTGACTCGCCATAATGATATTGCTGGTCACGGTGCGGCCTCGTGCGAATATAAGACCGAAGTAGGATCATAGCGCGTATTATTCCGCCGCGATTGCTATCACAGTGATGATCTATACTTTACTGGTCAACAAGAAGTAATTAGGCGCAGTCTTCCCGGCTAGGACAGGGTCTTCGTACACTGACCGAACGTTCCAGCCATTCGGTCCCGCCCCAGAGGTTCTAGACGCCTGGTACATCATATGATCCGCCATTAACCTTTTCGGGCAGCAGATCCGATTTACGCCTAGCTTCTGGATATCTTTCCGTTAAAGGATGAAGAGGAAGCATCTCATAGATTGAAACGGGCGCATTTGAGAACCTCACTGTCCATCTCGACAAGGATAGCTGACTGTGGCTCGGGCTTTGTGGGTGCACGGCCACAGAGGCGCTCGCTCTGTCCCCGGGACCCTAGACATGAGGAGCCCCAAAGGAGCCGCATCTGAGTCATGGCTTCGGAGCAAAGTGGGATGAGCAAAAGGACCATATACTTTATACTACCTAGTCGGGTCCAATTTGAATCTGGGGTTGCCAGCACAGTGGGTTGGATGGTATCATCCTTTGTTATGGATACGAGGCTGGCATATGTGGCGACCCCAGAGCACGTGTATGCGATTCTTGACTCAGTGGGGGTTCCCACATAGCTACTGTGCAGTACACAGCAAAATGGACCAGCAGGCAGAAGATTAGGATATCATATCTCAAGTCTAGTCACCTGAAGTGATGTTTAGTAGATACCCACCTATCTGCGTGCTTCACCGCTTGATGTGGCGAAAGTAGATCACATCGCTCTTGGGAATGCAGATATTGCATTTTGCTAGAACTGGTATAGACTTCGTGGTAGCGGCAAAAATACCATGATTTGCTCTTGAATGCCTTTAATGTGGACTTGGCGGCATTTTACCCTGGCGAGTGATTTTACAAAATGTTGAATGCGTTGATGTTAGTCATGATGCTCGCATTCGCCATTCTGCAGCGGAGCTAGACGGAGGTACGCTCTCTTTGTCGCTTATAGTACCTGGAGGCTGAGAGCCTGGACCGTCTGTCCCAACAATCACGGCAAGTATTCGTGTTTTCCGATCTCCGTTGAAGTGCGCGGTCCACTGGAAGCACGTGTCGTAATCATCCTGAACCAAGTCCCAGACGGTGGGCACATGGCTCCATTGGAGCCCTCCATCACAAGATACAGCAGACAGAATCCAATGCCCAACTCTCCATCGACGGGGGAGTTGAAGCCGAGCACGGTGCTTAAGCAGGTCCGACGAGAAGCTTACCTGGTGGCACTGCAAATGACAACAGTCTGTGACAATAAGCTCCCGTTACCCCATCTTGGGAGTTGGATGTGGTCCCGACCCATCAAGCCGCCCACTTCACGACTCGCGATGCCTGCTTTCACCGCCGGTGGCCAGAGTAGTCGGAGTCGAAATCGGCTGACAGAATATGATGAGGCGCAAGATGCTGCTTCGGAGAGATTCCCGGAAATGTATATCCAGAAAGTCAATGTAGGTCCCGCGGAAAACGCACCCTCCAGGTAATCCACTTGCTGCCGACACAAGTACGGATCGTTGCGGGGTTATGAGGTTACCCAGGTAGTGGCAAGATAACCAATGACATCTACCATCGTCATCACGGTTTTGGAACATTACTGGACATGAAACTATTGCAGGGAGATTGTGAGCAAGATAGATGGCACAGTCTAGGGTTCCGAGGACTCGGAAAAGGCACGAACGGCTTGTTCAGCGCTTCTGCGAGGGTGCCCAAAAGGGATACCTTGTGTAAACTTAATCAAAAGTTTTGCGTGTACAGGGGTGCTCCCAACTGTGAACCGTTGGAGCTGAAATAAACAAGTCAATCCTGATTGGTGGAGGAAATTAGGATCACCTGTGGGCTCCAGCGAGCCCCAGGTGTTGTTAATTCACCATGGAGACAAAGCGGAAGTTTCCTGCCCAAGGTTTTGAGTTTATGCCATCGGGCTCTCAATTCGAAACCATTTTGTCTGCCATTTCCCTTATCATGTCCATAGGTGTCCTGGAGCCCCAAGCTGAGCAGATGTTTACGTTTACCCGAGTAAACAAGCTTTGGTAAGTCTGCCCGCGCTGTAGAGCATTCTGAAATGCCTGTCGAAGTAGGACTTGGCATGTTAAGCTTATCTAGATTGTTGTTCCCGCTGATCAAGAGCCTCACCCCTTCGGCTGTTGGTTCCTGAACAGCTTAGCCGTCGCTGCACATCGGTCTGGAACATCTATTTCTAGCCCGAAGGCCTAGCCTGACAGCCGCACTAATCGGACGAAGTCTCATTGTCTGTGGATATCTGCGCACTTGGGCTGAGCTCGACGTTGCACTGAACCTCCTCTGAAAGAGAGATCAGCTGGGGCCTACCCGAAGCATGGTTGAACGTCAGCGAGTTCATTAGCTGAATTGACATGGGGCATGCCTGAAAACTTAATTGCCGTGTACCCGACGTTAGCTGAAGCCCTGTAGGGTGCACTTTGGCAGGGCGTAAGTAACCCTTCAGCCCAGGGGGTCACTGGACTCGCCCCCAGCCCCGTTCCGCATGGCATGACTAGTGCGCCGTTGAATATCTTTCCGTTTGTGATTTACACTCCAGGGTAAATGGGCAGAAACCGGCAATATCCTCGCTGAATCGTTATTGCTGGACTGCTGGCAGCCAATGTCGGCATTTGAGAATATGACAGACTGTTTCACCGTGCCAAGAGTCTGGCATCTGGGCACGTGGGCAAGGGGAACTGTTGGAATGGGCTCCGAAGTCGTTGTTCTGGTGTCATCTGGAGTCTGAAGGCCCACCCCCGCGGATGCCAATTCTGGGCGGAAGTGGCAAGGCTTGGCCACTGTAGCGGCAGCCCACAGCGCTGCATGGGAGTGCGACGTTGGAGTGGTATTGCTGTGCAGCTCGCTTTGGGGGCCACGGAGCAGGTTGATGATTACAGGTCATGGGATAGCGCGACTTCACAGGTTTTAGAAGAGAATTGCAGAACTTGGTGAAGATTGAATGAAGAAGCACATTGAAGTCGAATTAAGATATGGACTTTGTTTGGATAGAAACGCCGGCGCATTTGCAACTGCCGAGTCATCTTTTTGCCTTTCGCTACTGCACAGGCTGACAGCCAAAACCCTGGTGACGACATGTAAAAGTTGGCTTGTGCGGCAACAATAAACTCTAAGTTATTATGCATCAAGATAAAGTACAGTGAAGTCCCGAAAGTCAAAAATAAAGGTGTAGTTGAACGGCAATTGATTGTTTCGTCGAAGTAAATACAGTAAAAGTGAATATCTACGTCCAGAAGAGAATCCAACCACACTCCCATGGTATCAAGCATTTGCATCCATTAAAACCATTCCAAAATTATTCCGCCTGCGGCTTCGAGCAGCTTCACGTCTCTTAGTTCGCCTCAGCTCCCTGGGAGCCACACTTCTTCTCGCAGTAGTAGGTCATCTGTAGTAAGGCTACAGTTAGCGCTTGTTTTCCTACAACGAAAGGCTATTCCATCACATACCTCGTCACCACCAATATGCCAGCCGCCAGAGGTGCACTGAAGGCCATCGAAAGTGCAGTCAGGGCACTTGTCCCACTGCTTATTGCCGGTGTTGCGGTTCTTGTAGTAGCCACAGGCGCACTGGGTGCCGGTAGTGTCGATCTCATAGTCCTTGTAGGAGCCATAGGTGATGCCGTAAGGAGTTCCGTTACCAGTGCTGCCGTACGTTCTGCTCTTGACGCAGACAGCCGCGCTGTGGAGCTTGGCGAAAGCACTGAAGTAAAGTCAGTACAACCGTGAACCATGAGGGAGCTCGCGTGGAGGTGGAACATACACGGTGGTAAGAACCGCAAAAGTGGCGAGCGTGGAGATCTGCATATTGGATTTGCGTCGGGAAAACAAAGGTAGAGCCTTGTGTGTAGACGGGAAGACTGAGTCAAGTGGAAGGGATGATGTGGACAAGAAGGTTTGATGAGTGGTTTGAGTAGAGTCGAACGGAACGGCGAAACCGAGTGTTGAAATAAATCTTCGGTTTGGGAAGTAAGACTTGAGATCGAGAGGTATTCGCCTAGGAACCCTGATAATGGCATCTCGTAATGACTCTATCGTGTACTCTTTCCTCTTTGAGGCGTGGGCAATCTATTGGATACCGGCTATCGAAAACATTACTCGTTGGTCACGGCGTTGAATCCCGCAATTTTAGTGGCATTTGGGGGTGATGATAATCGTGCTGTCACCTTGGGAGTTCATTGAGGCCTCTATCTCAAGGAGGTTGACCGACCACCAAGTCACTCTCGTGACGGCTGCTGAGTCGTGCGGTATGGGGGCTGCTAGGCCCAATTAAGAAAGTAGGTCATCGACGTCTGAGGTCGGTGCTCCAACCAACGACGACACGAGGCTGATCATTTCTGAGCGGCATCGCAACGAAGGCTCGCTGGACGGTTTGTCGGGATGGGGTCCAAGTATGGAGAAGATCGGCCCCTGAATATACCAGGAAGGGATCTCAAATCTGCCTGGGTTGGTCCACCCAACGAACAAGGTCCAGGGTGACCCATTCTACGGGGACAGGCTTGTAGGGAACATGCTTGACTAGTGACCGACACTCGGATGAACGCAACCTCAACTCCAGACGATCCAGGCGGAGGCAAGCGGGCGGGCGCGCCACATTGTTGATCATTGATGTGACTGCTGAAGCTTATCTCTTGAGTCGGAAACACCAGGTCGTGATACTCGTGCAAATATCTATAAAACCTCTGGAGAATCCCGCCAAGTATTGTCTATTCCTCATCACTCTCATCCTCATCCACTCAAGCCTCTCCGGTCTCAGACATCCCTTCAATTTGCCCAACATGGTTTCTACTCGCATGATCGCCCTCCTCTCGGCCTTCGCTGCTGCAGTCAGCGCCGCGCCCGCTCCCATCCTCGCCGAGCAGGATCCCGCTCTCAACATTACCGAGACCCTCGACCGTAACCTCCGCAATGGAGAGATGGTTGTCTTCGGAAAGGATGGCAAGAGTAAGCATGCCTCAACCACCAGGATTGAATCGTACTGACTTTGCTTTTACAGCCGCCATCATTACTCAGGACACTTGGAACCTTCTTCTGAAGGTCGAGGGTATTGAGGCCGAGACTCCCGAGATCGACCACGACTACCTCAAGGCTGGCGAGGGTCTTGCGGAGATCCCCGTCAACCACACCGACGTCGCCCTCGGCAAGCGTGACTGCAACGCCAACTACCAGTTCGTCGTCGACAAGCAGATGCGCTTTGTCGACTGGGACGTGCAGATGTCCCCTGTCGTCATCGGTGCTGGCAGCAAGGGCATCGACATCACCATCTCCAAGTCCTACGCGGTTTCCAACGGTGTCACGGCTGGTGGTTCTTTCGACATCAGCAAGCTCATTGAGAAGCTTGGTCTCACTTTCAAGGTTGACTACTCTCGCACCTGGACCACCACTCAGGGCTACCTCATCCGTGGCACTGTCGACCCTGGCTACACTGGTGTCGTTATCACCCGCCCCTGGACCAACCGCAAGTACGGCCGCACCTTCCAGGGCTGCGTTGGCGCGCTTAAGCAGACTGGTACTTTCATGGCCGACTCTCACGAGTAAGTTTCGACCTATTTCCACTAATTAAACTCGAGTTAACAACATCTTCAGGGATGGCTCTTACGAGGGTGTGACCTGGGTTGGCGGCGCCATCACTGCCTGCATCAAGAAGCAGAGCTCCATCCCTCTGTCTCGCTGCAACGGCAGCGGCAACTTCCGATAAACGGCTTCATGCTGTACTTGAATGTCTCAAGCCTGGGGAGGTAGATCATACCCGCAGGCATCCGAGCTACATCTGCAACGACATCTTCCATCGCGGTTCGCAGCGCGGAGCCACGGCGCATTATGAGCAAATTGGGAATGAGGGAACGTGGATACCCATACAAACTTTGTAAACAATTCTTCTACTGTATTTAGTTTTGGTGCGATGAACATAACATAACACCGGCCGTCCAGGCCTTAATCAATTTAAGTGGTACCCAAATCCTCTTTTTTACCTACTTCATGCAAATCATTCATCTCGTGAAGTATTTGTATCTCATAAACAGGTCAACAACCTAGTAGGAGGTTTCAATTCTCAGGGAATCACTGCTGATAGCTTGGGTGTGATACTCGAGTCCACTAAATATGTGCCATTCAGCTCCGAAGGTCCTGCTACTATTAATTCATGGACAATGTCCGCCGTCACCGCACTCTTAAACGAACTCACAGTCAAGCTTACACGTATACTTGGTAAATAGTATGCGGCATGGCAAAGACACAGATCAACAAAGGGTGGGCATGTGCTGGAATGAGACTGGATTCGTGTTGAAAACACAGTTGATTTACTTCTGAAGTATCATCTAGGTACTTAATTTTGAACTCCCAATTGTTGGTCAACTTCCCCCGATGACTGTGCATCTCAGATGAACACTTGAAACCATGCTATTCTTCATCAGAAAACCGCGGGAAGAGGGTGTCTTATTTTACTTCGGGCCTCGCAGATCAATCTGCCGACTTAGACGGCGTACTCGGGCCCCACTCCTGAGGGCCCACTTCGGGCCCGAAGGCCGGCCCGTCAGGAACCGAGGGAAAAAATAAAATAAAAATAAAACAGGGTTCCGATCGACGCGAACGCGTCTAGAGCGCGACAACTTACAGAACCACGAACTTGCCTGTCGCATCTCCAAGCACCACATTCCATTGTCACCAAAAAGTGATTCTCTGTCCAAGCGCAGCAAACATGCCTCGAGGCAGACCCCGCTCAAAGCTCTCTGAGCAAGGTAAGTCTGCCAGGACTCACCGTCACTAATCCATCTTATCAGGTTCACCGCTAAATCTTCAAGATACAGATTTCCCATACGAAACGATCAAGAAAATTGTCGGCCATACCATCGACCCCGAGACTGCCCTCGTGACCCTCATTGCACTCTCAAAAGGCAACCGGATTGACGTGTCCGAATGGGACATCCAAGAACATCTTCCTGGGCTCCTCTACGAATACTGGGCTAGCTTCAAGGGCCAGACACGTCAAGACGTCCTCAAAATTGGCGAGCTTTACCACCCCTACAGACTTCTCAAACACCGTCGCGTTCGCGGACAGTGGCAAGTGCTCGTACAGTGGCTCGGCTACTCGGCCGAAGGCGAGGATGTCTCGTGGGAGCCCGCGAACAAGATTCGCGTCGACGCGCCAGACGTGTTGATCGATTATTGCGGTTATGTAGATGATGACAATGTCAAGGCTGCACTTCTCGGCCACTTGCGCATGGAGGAGTCTGTGGCGGAGGCACAGGAAGTTAAGCCCGCAGTCGAGGCTGTTGCGACACCTGCCAAGCTCAGCGCGAAGCGCAAGCGTGAGAGTCTCGCCGAGCAGTCCGAGGCCACGAGCGACAAACGTCGACGTTGTAAGTTTCTCGGGCCCTTGTTTTGCTTTTTCACCGTGCTTGAATAGTTGCTGATGATACCGAATAGCGTCCAGATACGAGTCGACGCCCGCCACGAAGACTCCCGCAACCAAATCGTCCGCCACAAAGCGCAGACAATCACAACCCCCTGCTGAAGCTGCCCAGGCGACCCCGAAATCCACGCGGCGACAGTCCAAGATACTCCCAAGCGACGATGCCACCCTCATCGCGTCGCCACAGCTTCCAGCGCGCCGAAAGAGCACACGCGCGTCCTCTGTTGCACCTACCTCCAACCAGACCCAACGTCTCAGCCCGGCGGACATCCCTCGGACGATGCTGTGGTTCATGGATGACTTCACCGTCGGCGACATGCAAAAGGTCTGCCGTTTTATCGACGAGCACTGCACGGGAAAACTCCGTCTGCCGCTGTACAGTGGCGGTGACTGGGACGGAAAGGCTGCGAGCGGACGTTGGGAGGACGTGTTTATGGTAAGCCCGTTGGGCCGCCTGGGCCGGTACGACAACGACGAGGAGAAGGAAGAATAAGTGAAGGTGTGTCGGTGTGGGGGTCTATTTCGGCGTTATGGGATGTGCGATGGCCTAGACACTTGTTCAGGCGAAAAACTGCTTCGATGGCCTCGGGCGCATGTTGTATCAGTTCCTACTTTTTAGACAAGGACGAAGTAGGTCCTCGACGAATTACGACTTTTGTTTGTTTCGTATGTTTTACTATGCTCTAGAACCCCAGTCTGAATTTTGACGGGTAGGCAATGCCTTTCGTTCTCCCACGGAGTCCTAGGCCCGCCTACCTTTATTCCTGCTCCCACTGCATCGGCCCAGTTTATCTCAGTCTCCAAGTTGTGTTTTCATTGGAAAGAGACGATTGCCGTGGTAGACCACCTCATCTTGGGACTGTATTTTCTTTGCTCCAGCCAAGTGGCAACATTCTCATACAGCAACATCTTTGGACACGTGCTCGTTGGCCCTTGGCTACTGAGTTACGTCCAATCCACTGGCTGAAGACACATGCGAAGCCGATGTTACTTGAGGACGCGTCTCCCGCCGCCCACAGTCCCACGAAAGGTCATCTTGCCAGGCGTGAACACACCCGTTTGTCGCACACGTTTCATGCGACAGAAAGGGGGCCAACAGGCGCACTGATTAGTTTGTTTCTGAGATACACGAGCCCGGTCTAATTTATTTGTCCTTTGTCCTCCCGAAGATAGCGCAATTGTGGCAAGTCTTCCGTCCTTCCGACGTTACGCAAGAAACCGCGGGATAGCACTGCGGCCAAATTACTTACGTAGCCGCTTTGATTCCCTCGTCAGACTAGGATGCTAAAAGCTCCCGTCATTTGGCGGGTACCATCTTTCCATGCACTTCCATCTGTCATTATTTACCCTCAAACATTGCGACAGTCCCTTCGAATCTTTTTTGGGGGTGAATTGCCTTGAAACGAGCTGCGGCCACTTCATTTAGCGGTGCGCAACAACAACTTCAACATGACAGTCCTCAGAAACATCACGTCTCGACGGCACCATGCAGCGAATCCTGCCAGATCATCACCTTACCCCTCAATCAAGGATAACCTTCATAGTCCAAATGACACACCTTCTACAACGCAGCCATCTGAAGGCCCAAGGACATCCTCTGGTGTCAAGAAGCTGACGAGAAGAATTGGTTTTATCTCCACTGGCGGCACAATCGCTTCCATCGCCATGGATGAATTCGACTTCACGGACTACAACGCTACAGACGAACGCGTTCCAGGCCAACAGATACTTGACCAGAGCGGAATCTCGGAGATATTCCATGGCGCTAAGCCGGTCATCCACGACTTCCAGCCTCCGATCGACAGCACCGCTATACAACCTCAAGACTGGTTCACGATCGCCCAGACATGCAGCACGATAGCTCAGAAGGGATGCCCGAAGGACAAGATCAATGGCATAGTCATTGGTCACGGGACTGCCAGTCTTGAAGAAACAGCCTGGGTTCTCTCCCTTGTTCTAGATTTGGACATCCCCGTTGTCGTCACTGGCTGTATGCGTCCGCTGAATGGGAAGTCCTCCGAAGCAGCTGCCAACCTGTTGGCAGCATTTCGAGTGGCGTCTCATGAATTTTCGAAGGCCAAGCACACGCATCCCAACAGTCCTGGCGTTTTTGTGGTAATAAATGATGAGATCCACTCTCCTCGGACCGTCACTAAGACGAATACTCTTCGCGTTGGAGCTTTCCAATCTCCATGGCGAGGGCCAATCGGATACGTCGATGGAGACACGGTCAACATCACGTCGCAGCTTCTAAGTTCTCCCAGCAACAAGTTCTCACCTGACCTGCTGCGTGATGAATTGCCTCGTGTGGACATTGTGTACAGTCATGTCGGTGCCGATGCAACCATGGTGAAAGCGTGTGTTGCTGCAGGTGCCAGGGGAATTGTGTCGGCCGGCTTTGGGCCAGGATTAGGCACACCGTCCGAGATTGCTGCATTTGGTGACGCAATTAAAGATTCCAACGGGCAGATTACTGTGGTCCAGTCGTCGAGGCTTGGAGCGGGAGTGGTTGTGGACAGCAAGCAGCACCGGAAGCTGGGCATTATCGCTGGGAATGATCTCAACCCCCAGAAAGCTCGCATTCTCTTGGCTCTGTGTCTTGCGAGTAATTGGACTCATGAGCAAATCAAGAGAGCTTTCGAACTTGTATAAACTCAGTGACGAGAAGCTAGATGCAGGAATTGGTCTTGAAACATTTAGACGCCAACTCAAAAGGACGATAGATCTCGATTGCGGGGAAATCTATGCTTAAGTATTATTCAACACCTCCTCTAGTCTATATTCCCGAACCCATGACACACTTAAATACATCGCAGAAGAAATAAATTGATCCAATATAGCGCTCTAGCCCCGTGCCATAAACTCCCCGTGACAAGATGCGCCTCCTTCAGGCAGACTGTTTCTCTGCCAGACGCTTGGCGACCTGTGATCTAGTTCCTTTGGCAGGTCCATCATATTCATCCCGAGCACGCTGTGATGTTGCCCATCGGAGGAAATGGCGATTGACAAAGGTCTTGAAAGCATTGTTACCGTTGGTCCAGGTTTCCGGCCAACACTCCTCATCAGAGTCACCCGCGGAGAGCTTTGCCATTTTCTTCGCTTCTGAGATAACGCCAGTGCTAACAAGGTTTATCAGCTCGTTGTTGGGGTCATTCAACTTTAGGTGAGAGATGAATCGCTCGACCTGACGAGCGCGCATGGCCTTGAGTGCGGCGTTGTTTCTAGGCATTGCGTAAGGTTGGAAGGTTATCTAATGTCATCTTGTCAGCATTTGCAATTAGGCGCAGGTCTTATTTCTTACTTACTGACGAGCTTTGACGGATGACTTTAAACCTTTCTTGATTGGGTGGTTGACGTGAAGTCTGAACAACTGTATGTTTGAGTTGCTCTTTTCTGTCGGTCTGATGAAAATGATATTGGCTGATTGTGTGTTTGTCTGGTTGTCTGGTTGATTGGTTGATTGGTTGATTGATTTGCTTGGTTAACTCGGATGAACAAGGCGAGGAGTCAAGACCATTTTATGTACATCGATCTTCATCAAAACTTTCGAGTTGACATTCACCCCCAACATCGTCTCTGCCTATTATCGTGAGATCGTATCAACACCTTTGTCACGTGAGACGAGGCCAAACACCTGGGTCTTTGAATCGAAATCGGACTCAAAAAGGTGGCCTCGGCCATTTTCAATTCTGAAAAGATGTCTGATTGATAGATACCCGCCCTCGTCAGATCTCACTTCCAATGATGCTCGACCAATATCTTTTCACAACTATCAGATTTTACGATCACATGGCCTTCGTTAACATTGAGCTCCATCGCAGGATAACGATTGGGCCGGCGCCGGCTTGAAACAAGGGCCCGTCGTGAGTGGTGACAGCTGAGGTAAGGTATCCTCCCAGCCGGATCCGACGACAATGCCTTACCTGTCAGCTGGTGCCCTGGTTGGAAACGTCTTCCCGTCTCATCGGCTACAATACCCTTAAACCCATGCGGATGACGCTACGCGAACTGGCCAGCGACCCTTGCGTTATCACCCCTCCCAGCGATCCTACTAGGGGCCGCAGTCACAATTCGCTCGGACGGATGGACCGTTTTCAGAAGTCATTGACCGAGAGTGTGGCTTTGTTTAAACGACTTGCTCCTGCCACAATTCCCTTCTGCGCCATCAAAGAAAGTTCAGTTCCTGCAGATCTGCCTCGTCTGATCCTTCACTGGCACCTTACTACCATGAGCTTTCCCGAACTTATATCCCATATCCCAAGCCTTAGACCCCAATTGTCCCTTTTTCTTCTTCCGAATTCTCAACGCTCGGGCTCTGGTATTTTTTTGCCCTGCTTCTCCTTTTCCTCCTCTTTTTTGGCATGCCACCACTGGCTGTTGATAGCGTAGACATTGTCGATAATGGTTCGGATATTACAGAATAAGTCTCCTCATCCTCCACCTTTCCGACATACATCCTCTCCATCTTCTCCTCCAAGGTGACCCCGAATTCCTGGACAGGTTTTGATGGAGCATCGACTCTTTCTGGACTCCAACTCTCTGGATCTGTCGGACTTTCTCTTTTTTGTTGAGCCAATTCATCGTTCTGCTCAGCTGTTGCAGTCACGTCTTGTTCTGGCTGGGGCTCTGGTTCAGGTTCTGGCTTTGGTGTTCTGAGTTCACTCCTGATGAGCTCAATCTCAATCACGACGCGACCCTCTTGACCAAACTTCTTTCTCATTCCATCGCCGTCGAAGTCATAGTATAGACCCCAAACGCCACTGTCCTCAAGGACGGCACAGAATCCTTCCCAGCCGCAGAAAGTAAGTCGGCGATCTTGACGGGTGCAGTCCCATGGCCCAGTTAGGTTGGCGTCTGCCACAGCACGAACACCAAATTGGAATGAGTAAGTGAGAGGGTCCATAAACACCCAGTTCATGATTGGTGCTTCAGGCGTGATGGTGGTCACCAGCCCCGCGTACCGAGAGTCGGGATAAGGGATGTAGTATCCCTCGAAGGGATGGCCAAAAGGGACATCGTGAGCGGTGCCAGTGTCAATGTAGAGCTGTTACATTGTCAGATCATCTGTCAAACTCTGTGGTGGGGAGGTCACTTACCCTGTCTCCGGACAGTACCACGCGCCGCCCCTCGAGATAAGGGCTGTACTGGGATGACTTGGGGCAATGGACAATAAGGTTGTTCTTCCGACTTCGATGCTCCTCCTTTCGGGACTTGGCCATGGAGGCTTTGATACCCTCATGGGCACCGACGGCCGTGCCGAAGCTGACTAGGAGTGACAGAACCATCCCCACTTGAGCGTCTCAATGATTTGCAAGGTACGCTTGACAACGAGAATCGAAAGATAAAAAACGGCCCATGGGAAGCTCTCGATGAGCGCCTGAATCAATGCGACAAGGGCAGGTGAGCGCGAGAAATGTGTTTGTTTTCTTGTCAAGTGATGGTTCTCGTCGAGCAACGTGTCTCTTTTGCTTTGACGGGTGGATTGTGAGGGTCGTTGAATATCGGCTCAGACGACGTGGCAATGGGGGTTTACTGTGGTAACGATGGTTTCGGGGGGATCTTCAACCCCGTTAAGTCAGGGTGTTGCTTGAGTCGTTTCACCCTTTTGAAACTTCCATAAGATCAGAACAGACGTTGAATAAGTTGAAGATTATCGACTGATGTTTGTGGGACGCGCCGGCAGGCACCTGGTAGATGTGCCAAATGCTACTGCAGTGGGGGAGAAATCGGATTTCGATGGGCTCATTTGCAAAATGTCAGATGCGATTCCCATGTTGCAGATCTTTGAGGACCCCTGATCGATGCCATTGAAACTCCCCGGCATAAGGGTTGCTGACATGGGTATGGTGGGCACACGACCCTTGCCGAGCCTCCCATGAAGACACTCTGAGACACAGACGAGCCCCGATGCAACCAAAAAACGTTCTATCTACTCAGTCGAATCGTACCACGCTGGCCAATTTTCAGATGTTCTGGAAACGCGACCGTTATCCGCATGAGCGAGAGTCGTTGGTCGGTGTGGTCTGGCCAAGTCTGACAAAACACAGCACGCAAAATTCGATCCGAGCGGCTGGTTTCAACATCGGACGATGTCAGTTGGCTCTCCAGAGCCGCCTCTGCTCCTGTTGCAAGTTTGTCTAGGATGGACGGACGGAGAAGAATGATAGCATCAACTATCTATACCGGGTTCTTTCGGCCGCGCTCGCATTCGAAGCTTAAAGCTCCTCATGTTCCCCCTCCAACTTGAAGATGGCTAAGCAGGCCGAACAACCACAACAATCGCAACCTCTCAACACCGCAACAGATCAACATAAAAAGCAAAAGTCCGTGGGAACAGGTTCCCCGATCGCCACGATATCCTCAAAGTTCGAACTTCCTCCTCAGCAGCAGCAGCCACCAATTCCCAAGAGACCAGGCCACGCATCCCGAGCTTCTAGCACGTCGTCAAAGCGCCTCTCTGCATCAGCTGCATCAATCCCTGCCGAGACCCCTGCAAAACCGGCCCCGTCCCAAACTCCTACTCCAACACCTCCTCCACCCGAAGACAGTTCTGCTGCGCCAGGAGCTCTCAGAAGATCCCTCTCATTCAAGCTACCCATCCGAGTCTCAACCGACAATAATAACTTTCCTCCCGCCAACAGCGGAAATCGTTCTCGAGCTTCTTCTCTTCCTCAAGAATCCGAATCACCAGTTGATAAAAAACGCCATTCCGTACAACGCTCTCTCTCTTCTTTGACCTCTATCGTCGAAGCCAACAACGCATCGAAAGACCTCGAAGTCCCTCAAGCCAAAAGCCCCAAACCCTCACCAAAGTCACCATCCAAGCAGTTCTTGTTAGAACGAGGTCTTCTTAATCCCGAAGAACTCGACGAAGCCAGCTCACCCGAAGAACTCCAAACTTCTCTCCAAGACCAAGTCGTCCGATTCCTTACCACAATGTCTTCTCCGTAAGTAAAACCCCGCCAGCTTCTCCCAACATCTTGGCATGCGGATCGCTCATGCATTCAGTGCCTCCAGCCAAAAGACCGACGCCGCTGAGCAGCAGCGTGCTCCCGCCTACCCTACCTCCTACCCTCCCAACAATGGTCAGCTCGGACGCAGCATGCCCCAGCCTGGCTTGCCTGTCCCCATGCCCAACCTCTCTGGCAACGCCAACGGCCCCGTCGGTAAGCTTTCCCGCCTGCCCCTGGCACCGTTGCCAAGCATGCTAACATAAGCTTAAAGGCAACCTCCTGAAGGGCCCCGTCGACGACAAGGGTCAACTGACCAAGGCCGCTCTCATGGTCGGTATCAAGTTGGACTTGGAAGCCGAAGTCCACGTCACTGCCCGCGTACGCGGTGACATCCTGGTCGGTCTGTACTAAGATGATATCCACATGCATTTCTCTCTGCACATAACGGGTCTGTGAGCGTCGCGTTTTTGGCGATGATCAGCTATTGTTTTGGGGGCTTGCCAATGTAACCTAGAACCATTGTTTGATTTACCCTCGGGGATACGATGGCCGGCGCAAGATGGTCCACTGTTCACGGACATGGGATAAGCACATGCAATTTGATTTATTTGACAACAAAAATCTGGCGATGTATCGTAGCAGGATGAGACTCCCAATCAACTATAAGCATATCAAATTAGTTTTACCTCTGCCAAATCTAACCCGCCCTCAATTCTAACCACCTAGTATTTGATCGTTCTGCATAATTATTCATCTATGATGCCCATGCCCTCCCTTCGAGTCCGACTTCTCGACCATGATCTGCCGCTCCTTGGCCCATCCCACAATACGATCGTATTTGGGGCATCTATGTTGTGAGTCAAAATCCGGCTGCGTGCCTTTGGCGCCCTTCGTGTGCAAAAATGGTGTAACGTCGGCGGCGCACTGCAATCGGATTCTCAACGCCTCAATGCAGTGATCAACATGCTGGAAGAAATCAGAATTGCCGAGGAATCTTAGACACAGGAGCACAAGTCTCAGAAAGTCTGATGCGCGCGCAGTGGACTCTTCTTGGCAGACCTGCCAAACGGGGTATCTAGGCGACTCACCGCTAGGACAAGCTCGGGACTTCCGTGAAACGCTGGATCGTTGCTGTAGTCGTACTCGTCTTTGTGTGCATATTGTCTCACCTTTGGATCTCAGTCGGCGTCAATATTGGTGGGAAAGACATTATCTTACAAGATTGAGGCAGTGAAGGTTGTGAAAAACTTCAAGCCCCGCCAGGAGATTTCCAGACTCGGTACGGGCCCAGGGATCTCCCCCAACGCCACCAGAGGACTTATTCATGGAGGACAAGTATGAGTCTGGCAAGTCGAAAGAGCCATCTATTTTTCCTTAGTCGGTGGCCACAGCTGCCATGAGCCCGCATGGTGAACTTACAATACCACAACTCTTTCCATTTCGCCTCCAGTTCAGGTGTCGGCTTACCCTTGTATGGGCTTGGCTTCCAGAAAGCGTTGTCGAATTGGACTTCCTCGTACTCCAAGACATCGTGAACTGGTGCTAATTTCGGGTTTAGCTATAAGACACTATGAAACCATTGGTGGCGTTTAGTTGTGACATACATGGAACATTGAGTTGCTTCACGCATTGTCGGTCTGTTGGTGGCTTGGGATGCAAATGAATCCACACAGAAAGACCCAAAAAGATGCAACTGGCAACGAACAAGGAGGTAGCAAACTTGTCGCGCAAGTTCATTCTAGATGAGCCGCCGCGAGGGTACATTATTGGCTTGTCGCCATCCGAGAGAAACCCCTCTAGTTCAGGCCCCGCGGCATCTTTCGCTTCGGTTAAGGGGAAGTATCTTCCCGCCATTTTGATGGATTGGTCTTGGTTGAGAGACTCGGGACAAGAGGTCAAGAATCGATGAGAAGTCGTCTCGGGGTTTCTCAAGTCCCAGAACATGGAAACAAGATAAGGAATCTTCCGAAAGGTCTGGACGGGCCAGAGATGACAAGCAAGGGCAACCCGACCCAACATGACTCGCTATCACGATATGGAGCTTGGGGATTCCAGCGCGTTCTACGGTTCCGGGTCACTATACGAGCATACTATGTGAAATTGATTACTCCTTTGATTTGCATGTCCAATTGAGCTGGGGTGTCGCCGGCATTCCGCTTTCCGACCCCCATTCACCCGGCTCTGAGCTCATTCAACCCTTACCCGAACCTGACTCGACAGCTTGATACGGTTACTCACCTTCCTTTCTTGTCAAGTCAGCCGACTTCGGAAAGCTTATTTAAATCTGATCGCTCGAACTAAGTGGTCCCGTCTGCCCAAGGGGCTGGGTCTGCTGGGTCTGCTGGGCCCAGGGTCACAATTGTTGCGGCCCAAGAAGGCTTGATCTTCTTGATAGAAAGCTTGTGTTGGTATCATCCCGCTTCGAGGCTTCACTGAAGCGCACGACGGACGAATCACCTCAAAGCCATTCCAAACTAGTGTCGCGTCTGAGCTGAAAGCTTCAATAATAGCTGCAGCTCATCTTATTTACTTCTTGTGAATGCGAATACCGCATTTCGAAACTGACAGAAAATGTGACATCCATGGAAGTGAAGATGTAGCGAAACTGAACGCCATACTACAGTGAGAGTACGTCATTATGTCAATACCTTGGCCCTCCCCGCAACAGAAGTTCCTGGGGCATGTCGGTGGAGTCTGTTATCAATGATCATGCCGGCCAGTAAACTGTGGATGGCAACTTCGTCGGATCCAGGGCCGACAGCACCAGGTCATCCAAGTCAGTGTAGTGCCAGCTTCCCATTCTGCCTTAGTGCAGCTTGTGAGACCTCCGAAGATGTCGGAGTCATTGCAACTGCATTCTCAGAAGTAGCAGCTTGGCTTGTATAAAGATGTACCTGAAGTCTTGCTCTATCATCAACAGACTTCCGCTCATCTCTCAACCTGACTTTCACAATCTGCGCCTCAACTTCTCACCCTCTACCAAACCTCGACTTACAAAATCTCAAGATGAAGGCCTCCACCATCCTCTTCCTCGCTGGTGCTTCTCTCGCTGTTGCGGCTCCCGTTGCACAGCCTGAGGCCGAAGCAGAGGCCAGCATCTCCTTCCTCGAGTCCATCCACTACAAGAGAGAAGCCAATCCCAAGGCCGAGGCCGAGCCCGCCATCAACTTCCTCGAGTCGGTTCACTACAAGAAGGAGGCTCGGCCGGAGGCACAACCCGCCATCGAGTTCGAGGATTCCGTGCACTACAAGCGCGAAGCCGAGGCTGAGCCTGCTATCAATTTCTTGGAGTCCGTCCACTACAAGAAGGAGGCCGAGCCCGCGATTGAGTTCGAAGACTCTGTCCACTACAAGCGAGAGCCAGAGGCCGAGGCCGAGCCAGCCATCGAATTCTTGGAGTCAGTTCACTACAAGAAAGAAGCTGAGCCCGCTGTCGAGTTTCTGGAATCCGTCCACTACAAGAAGGAAGCGGAGCCTGCTATTGAGTTTGAGGAGTCTGTTCACTACTAGGTACAAATATCGCGGTCGGCGGCCGTAGGATTGGTGATTGGTATAGCAACATCGCCTTACATGTTCATATAGATTGGCATATAATATAATGTAGCATCCTTGATACGAGTTATCCACACGGTATTGCTGTGCTAATATGATTGCTATGGAAGCTTCGGACCATGGGAAATTTCAATTGGTTGTATCGTATTTGTATGTTCATCGTGTCTTGGCTTGAAAAGCTTTACAAGAAAAGCCGCGATTGATAGAAAAAGTCGTATTCATGATTCCGTTCGCAATCAAATTGTTCTAGTTCATTTGCAACTCGGGTATCCGCAAGTCGACTCGTATTCTGCGTATTCCGAACCTTTCCATGTTATTTTTTTCTCACGCCGTGCCCCTATCCCTTCTATACGGCTTTCGCCCGTGAACGATGTATCTGCAGCCTCATATCAGTACTGAATATGACTTTGTATTTAAGGGGAGCCTTACATCGGCCAGTATGCGTGAACACTCGTATCTCTCAATACCTTTCTGGCTTTGCTGACTAGAACGATAACCTCCTCATAACTCCAGCCAAGAGCTCTTGTGAGGGGAGCAAGCGTGGCTGGCTCAAGGGCCTGGTCCATGTTCTCTAAGCTCCACATGCCAAGATCCTTGTAATGCTTGTCTCGAGGCCAACGGTTTGTGGGCCATTTGTAGATGGTCTCAACAACGTCTTCGAAACCGGCTTCTTCCATAAGCTGTTTCCACTGCTCCGCAGCGGTGACAGGTCTACCAAACTTCGCCATACCTTCCATTACCAGGAGGACCCATTTCCAAAGGTCTGAGTCAACCGATAGTGTTCCATCGTCGCAACCCAAAGGAAGAGCCATATCTTGGGCCTCGAAATAGCCGCCTGGCTCCAGGGCGCTTCAGAGCGTATCAGTAGGCGATCAAACCAACGATCCGCACAGGTCAAACTCACTCAAAAGCCTTGTAAACAATACTTCTATTGTCTGCAAAACTGCCTGTCATCATGCGAGAAAAAATGAAGTCGAATGGTCGTGACCATGTCCAGTCCTTCTCCAAATCATCGAGCTTTGTGACATCGTGTCAGGTGAAACTGAACAACAGTCTTTTGTTGACGAAACATACCTCAAAAGAACAATTTGGGGGCACACTGCTTATGATGAGCGAGGCGCAACAGGCAAATCGTGAATGGAGGGCAACTCACAGGTCTGGCTGGACGGGGCTAAGATCGACTCCAATCACCTGCCATACTGTCAGCCGGTGGCAGAAATTCTGACACGTGTAAGTGCTACCTCAGCATCAGGATGCGCATCCGCTGGTGGTTGTTAGAATCATGTCAGACCTTAATCTCACACTTGAGTGGGCGGGCTGTGCCAGGAGGGGCCATCTTACCATACTCCATGGACCAGATTCCGGTGCCAGTTCCGAGATCAAGCACTCTTTTAGCACCCATGTTTTTCGGGCAGAGGCAATGATTGCCCCCTATCGTAAGAGTCATCACATAATGCTGCAAATCTGTGCGGCAGTCAGCCACTGTGACCCAGATGCGATGCGGAGAATTCCTACCCAACCTGTCGACCTCCGACTTTCAACGAATGAAAGTGTTAATCACTATCCACAACCGGGGCTCGATTGCACTGGGCAAAATCTCACCTCATCGTTTGGAAGGAAATATTCTGAGGGAGCGGTCAGTTCGGCACGCTGCAGACTGACAACGTATCATCACTTACTCCCCGCACTCATGGCATGATACGTACGGCCATTTTCGTGCTGGTAATGGCGAATGCTTGACCGCAGCGATGTGAGCGAATCGCGGAAAGGCTAAGCAACGGGAATCAGCATGGCAACTCCTTGGCTAGCGTAGAAGGTTTGTGGTCCGATGCGTGACGCTGCTGGGATATCAAAAGGCAGAAAAACGATTGGTCTGCTCGGATGACTCGCAGATGTCTCCAGTGCGTCTTCCGTACGCGCTCTGAGAGTGGCTACCGTTGGAGTTACAGTGGAGGAGTCTTTAGAGAGCAATAAGGGGCGGAAAGGCGGGTGAATGATGGAAAATGCGGTAGACTAACAACACCCAGAGCAGAATCGGTGTCAGAATTGTCGATTGCGTCCGCTTCCTATTGGCAGGTTAGCATTTTTCCTCCGAGAACGATGTCCATGAATGTAGCTAGCATGCAGCGTTCACTTACAATCTGCGGCGCTGGCTCCTGTTCGGACGCCAATGCATATGAAGATTCCGGTGGCGGCGAGAAGGCATTTTCTGGCCGCGGTGCTGGAGTTGGGGCCGTTTTAGGGGATTCGGCGGGCCTTTGGTGGGCGTTTGTGGCGGACACCGGGGAGACCGGGGACTGCGGCGGAGACACGACCATGGCGCGAGCTTCCACTGAGAGGGTTCACAATTGTTCGGAACTGTGAATGGGGCCCGAAGTGGCTGTGTTGAGAAGAACGAGCTGCCGAGTATCCCGATGCAGCATCAGACAGCTGCGAAGAGACTCAAGCGGGAGAATTAGAGGCAAAGACTGCCAGAGAGGAAAACATCAAGATCAAAGCAGGCCGAAGCAGACGCAGGGAGAAGAGGAGTGGTTACGCCTAGCGGGCTGCAAAATGTCATTGTCTTTAATAAGAGGCAGACCAGCCTCAGGCAACGGTCAACCAGGCATTCTTTGTGGTACATCAGACTGCAGATTGCAGACGTCTCTCGCCGGCTCAGTGTACGTGCGAGGAGGCACTACTGCGGAATTAGGGGCCTCGCGTCTGTAGTGTGGTGTGATATGATGCGGCCAAACGGGGATGAAGACTGCGCAGGAGAGACAGACGGCAGCGAAGCGAGAAGGCCCACGCTCCGGGTTGCATCGCGTGGTTTACCGACGGAGTCTTGCGTCTTCAAGGGACTATGACACTAACGCGGTTCCAACGTGCTCGACTACTAGCTGCATGAAGATGATGACATGAGGAGTCCAGAAAAGGCGGGAAAGCTTTCTCAGCGGTGCCGATTGGGCTGTCGTCAAGAGGAAATGGGGCCAGGAGGAGGGAGGGAATAATTACCAAGTTTCTTTTCATTCAAGCAATTGTCAATTCATCAAATGCATCTCATCGCCCGCTGCATCATCCATAAGCGGCCCGTATCAATACCCGTTTGGTTCTGAGTCTAGGTGCTCGGTGTGTGTTACGAATGACGCTCTGGCTGGCCGAAACACAGCACCGGAACCCCGCCATCTTCGGGGGTCAAGTGGGGGACAATGTGAGGCGCTTCCATTGCAATGGAAGAAAACAAGACAATAGGAGGGGGGCATCGAAGGTGCTTTGGCTTGCAAAAGAATGCTGCTGGGGCGCGAAAACCCGCCCACTTGACCCATGGGCAACAACACAGCTCATTTAACCTTCCGTTCATGGCTTCAATGAAAGCGAGCTCTTGTCCCATGCAGGATAAGTTAAGCTGCCAAGGGCTCTTCACCGAGCGAACACAAGTGCGCCATAGTTCCCACCCACCGTTACCTGAGCCCGTTGCGGATGTTGTGGCCGATGCGTTAGGCACATGGTTTCAATCCCGGGACCAAGGGCATGGAGAAGAACACCATCGCAACTGTGAGATGGAACATCAATTATTAGTTCGGATTCAAACAGCATCATGGGACCAAACAACTTCCAGTTGAAACGCCTTTGAACTGAAAAAGGCCCGAAGGCTTACGGCATTAAACGGATGGACAGTCCAGTGCCTTTGTGTCTCTGTCGCAAACATTGGAGAGACAGTGAATTCAGTGAGATGCCCTACGCCGGGGAACAGCAAAGCTACAGGTTGTGTGCATCATTAGCACCGCAACATCACCGACATCCATGTCACCATCCCGGTCGGGAGTCGTCTTCTCTTGCAGCTTCCCATCTCTTACAACGGAAACATATCCACAAACTGGAAAGATTGCTGCTGCCTGTCAGCAAGCACCTCGCACTCGATTTGCTGCCCCGTATTTGCCGGCGTCCGTTGATGCATCGTGACGGCCTGCTACAGCGCTACGCCAACACACATTAGGCAAGATAACACCTTTAGCTCACGCGAAGATGCAGGATTATATCTAGGTGCCATTCCGAAGCAGGGGATATTCGAGATGGGCTTTTCGTATTTACTGTTCACGTTTTCTTTTTCTGACAGGCTTTCTGCTTTCTTGTTACTTCTGCAGCTAACTTACACGCCCGGGGATCTCAAATCCTCACCTCGCAAGTTGCAAATCACTTCTTCTCGAACCCCCAGCAGAGCTGCATATCCAGGATTAATCTTTCTTTTTCGGTCGAAGGTACTCACTATTATGTGCAGTCAGCACGTCGCTTGAAAAACGCACAAGTACATCATCGAAACAATTATCCTGGCCCTCAGACGTGCTCGAACGCATCACACTATCAGACGCTGCCGTCCGAACCCGATCAGGTTTCCAGACCTCGGATTTTGTGCGACGACCTAGTACGCGTCGCAAAGTCTACTGCCCGTACATCCAGTCACCTGCCGCTTTCAATTACAATCCGACAGCCATCAACCGGCAGTTCTGAGTATCAAGTCTTTGAGGCGCAGCGAGTTGTTTGTCAACAACCAAGGTCGCCAGGTGCCCGTTTTCCGGGTCCCGCCACGACAAATTTCACATCTCGCGCCCTCGCCCCTCTAATCCCAACCCCTGTCACACCCCCAGGGCCGTCTTGTGCTCCCATCCTCTGCCAATTGAGCTTGCTTTTTGCTTGGTTGTGCCTGCTCAGCTGCCCATCAGCCGGGTCAAGAGCTCAGGATGCAGTATTCTGTTACTACCGTGGCATCCGTCGCCGCAGTGCTGTGGACTGCGTACCTGGTCATCTGCCGAGTACGTGACTATGCACGGATGAGACACATCCCAGGGCCCTTCTGGGCACACTGGACCGATCTTTGGCTCATGAGGGCACAATTCAGCGGCAAACTCTCTTTCATTCTGCAAGACCTGAACAAGAAGCATGGTGCGTAATAATTCCGCTGTCAAGGATGCGTAACCACGTTCCCCATCCAACCTGCGATGTCTATGCCCAATACAATTAGTACACATATACACCAAGTCTACGACGCTCATCTACGCAATCCGCTTGCATGCGAAGCTAATGAAACCCATTCTGCAGGTCCCATTGTTCGGATTGCGCCCAATTGGGTCCTCTGCGGCGATGGCGCTACGCTGCGAGTTCTATGGGCGGCTCGCTCCCACTGGAAGCGAGGCCTCTGGTATCTGGGCCTACGTTTCGACCCATACTCCGACAGTGTTTTCACAGCGTTGGACGACAAATATCATGACACTCTTCGGGCCAAGCTCGCGGCCGGCTACGCAGGTAAGGATGTCGATGGCGTGGAAGATGTCATCGACGAACGAGTTGAAGCGCTGGTTCACCTACTACAAACGCGATACTTGTCGACTGGGTCTGAATATAAGACCGTCGACTTGGCTCGCAAGGTGCAGTACTTCACCCTGGACGTCATCTCCGCCTTGGGATTTGGCAAGAAATTTGGGTATTTGGAAGCCGACGCCGATACAATGCGGTACATTGAGATCACGGAGAAAACCCTGCCTTCGCTACTAGTCATAGCATTGCAGCCCTGGATGCTCAGAATCCTACAGTCCTCGACCCTAAAGTTCTTCATGCCCAGCTCAAAGGATATCATCGGCATTGGCGATGTCATGCGGAGGGCCGCAGAGGCCGTTGAGGAGCGCTACGGCGAGAAGCCCGTTATCAAACGCGACATCCTTGGCTCTTTCGTCTCCCATGGCCTTACGAAAGAAGAAGCAGAGGGTGAAACGACTGTTCAAATCATTGCCGGTTCTGATTCTACTGCCGCAGCAATCCGAACCACAATGCTATTCATCATGACGAACCCACATGTCTACGCCCGTTTGCGGGCTGAAATAGATACGAATGTCGCTCAGGGCCGCATCTCATCGCCGATCACAGACGCGGAAGCCAGGAAGTTCGAGTATCTCCAGGCGGTAATAAGAGAAGGGATCCGAATCTACCCTCCGGCGACGGGTCTATTGCCCAAGGTTTCCGACAAAGACGAGGTGGTCTATGGAATGCACATTCCTGCGGGAACCAACGTGGCCTGGTCTCCTTTTGCAGTGATGCGTCAGACAGAGGTATTCGGGGCAGACGCCGATATGTTTCGACCAGAGAGGTGGCTCGGTATTTCTAAAGAGCAGTACCGTGTGATGGATACCCAAGTTATGCTGGACTTTGGAGTGGGAAGTCGATGGGAGTGTCTTGGCAAGAACATCGCCATGCTCGAGCTGAACAAGGTCTATGTTGAGGTAAGTTCCCGCCCACCAGCCGCTTTGCAACTGGACGTCAAAGGTGATCGCTGACCACGGTTGCTACGTAGCTTTTTCGGCGATTTGACTTCACGATTGTAGACCCCGCCAAACCTTGGACGACGGAGAACTTTGCGGTTCATATCCAGAAGGAGTTCAACGTCAAGGTGACTGAGCGTGCGACGCCTGCTTGAGACCTAAGGCGTGAATAGCATAAATAGTTGAGAAATGACAGTTTCAAACTGTTTTCAAATGCCGGCAGGCGGGTTCTGATGTCGTGACGCCGTTCGTCAGGCACATACCTGGGGTTATTTCGAGTCTAGTATGTCCACAGAGGCGATGAGCTTGACTCAATCAACCTGGGCGCTCAATGAAGGTTCGTCCCTAATTCGTTACGATCCAGTAGAGTAGCGGCTTACGGATATCATGAAACCTGAAGTAGCAAGGACCTCTTTCATCATGTACCGTCTCGTAATAAACATCGGGCCGAGTACCTACAAGCGAAGATGGCCTCGCACAGCGACGGTCTTTCTGCAAAAGCTTCGGTGTCTGCACCCTTTCTCCGGGGTTTGGATTCGGCGCGAAAATAATTCTTCACGCTTTGACAGCACACCACAACTGCCAAAGACATGGAGTCTCCGCTTACTCCGCGTCACGTGGATCCGGAGACGCTTGGCTTATGGTAGTAACTTCACGCCCTAAGGCGTAGGACGTACATGAAATTTCCTAATCGTTCTCCACATACCGGCAGCAATCTGTTTGCTACGAGAGGAGATGGGAGTAGTGTGACTGTCGCCTTTAACTCCCTACGTGCCCAGTCACAGTGTCTAGGGCGCGCGAAAAAGAAATATCCAATCTGTTCCAAGCCCAACGATCCCTTACCTCCGAGAAACCGATGACCGCTGGCGATCCTGCAGATGGTAGCGGCGGTGCATACCGTCGCACGACACGCTCTACAACAAATGACTCCTTAAATCATACACAACATGAGGCCTACCTTGACCAGCAGGTTCTTGATTCGCTGCTCGGGCTAGCTTCTGGCAACTCAGATGGAGGCAGCTTCATCGGCTCCCACCCGCAATGGTCGGCACCAGATGCCGCCGTATCCGGCACAACTTACCCCGGCCTGATGTCCGAAAGTTCCGACCACCTCTGGTCCGGGGACATGGCACAAGCGGAGCCGATCTCCCACGGCGAAAATCCGTCATGGTTTGGACACAACCTGTCTTACGAAGACCCGGCACAAGAGTTGAGCAACCTTCAATGGCCGCTCCCTGGACCAATTACAAGGCCTTCAGACAACATCAACTGGTCCGCGGCAGTTGAAGAGCAAGAACTCAGGGGACGCCGCGGTCTCCCTCGCAGGCGAAGTCGGTACCGATACATGCAATCTGAACAGAGGGCTATACCCATCCCAATACTCGCCTCCCCTACAACCCAGCAAGACTCAGATCCGTTGCAGCGATGGAAGGACTCACCGCCTCAAGATGAACCTGCTTCGATGGCAGCTATCTTTGACGCGCTCAGAACAAATCAGGTTGATTTGCAAGATGGACACAGTCGATCTCAGCCAGCGTACTCCCGGGCTAACTCTGGCACGAGCGCTGATAGTGGTGGAAGCAGCTCTTCAATGCAGTCGGGCAATTCTGCATGGTCCGGTATATCAGAGGCTTCAAGAGGGAGGCGAGCTGGATTCGGCCCCTTGAATCCAACCCGCCAAGGCCGCGTTGGGAAGAAGCGTGGAAGCATCACGACGAAGGACAGCCGCCCGTTTAAATGTACGTTTTGTTGCGACAACTTCAAGACGAAATATGACTGGGCTCGGCATGAAAAATCTCGACATCTGAATCTGGAGTCCTGGGTGTGTGCTCCCCATGGAGGCTCTGTAATGTCGACTGTGACGGGACGGCCCCATTGCGCATACTGCAGCGCCATAGACCCGACAGAAGAACATCTCGATATGCACAACCATAGCGCCTGCCACGACCGACCGATCGAAGCACGCTCCTTTGGACGAAAAGATCACCTTGTTCAACACTTGCGCGTTATGCATAAGTTAGAGAAGCTGCCCCGATTCGACGATTGGAAGGTTCAGTCCATGGAGATCACCTCTCGGTGCGGATTCTGTGGCATGGCGCTGTTGACGTGGAACAAGAGAACCGACCATCTTGCGGCCCATTTCCGAAAAGGCTTGACGATGAAGGATTGGAAAGGAGAGCATGGTTTCACACCCGCGGTTGCAGGGCAGGTAGTTCATGCTCTACCGCCGTACCTAATTGGATCGGAGTCTATGAGCGTGGTACCGTTCTCAGCAACCAAACAGGGCACAAAAGATCACTTTGCTCAAATCTCTTCTCGGACACATGGATTCAAAGACACTGAGGAGGAAGTATCTACAGAGCTGAAGGAACCCGACCCACTCCCCTCGCCATCGGTTTTGACCTCGAGAGCCGCGACTTCCAAAGCGTTCACCGAGATATTGGAGCGACACCTGAAGCACTTCGCGGACGAATACATGGCGCAGGGGATTAACCCTACAGACGATATGCTCAGGCAGGAATCAAGACGGGTCATTTATGACAGTGACGACGAGTGGAACCAGACCGTTGCAGATAACTCTGAATGGCTGGCGCAGTTTCGAACCCGCCACGGTCTAGAAAACAAGGGTGACCAAAATAAGATCAGAGAAGAGACATGATCCCAACCTTGACATCATCTTCCAGCCCTCGGTCTTGGTGTCTTCGGCAACTTTCTATCTTCTGATGTCTCTGTCGATGATCCGAATCGCCTCTAAGCACTGCTCATCATGGAATCGAGGGGCAACCACTTGGATCGAGCAAGGAGCTCCATCGCTTGCTTCGGGGTCGTCTAAGAACAGTCAGCATCACCATTTTGTGTCAAGACAGTGGTGTTGGGTTCCTGAAACTCACAGTCTGCCTCGAATTCCGCTACAGCCTTCTCAGGTGAAGGGTCCTTCTCCTTGGATGCAAAGCCGTACGGGATGATACCAGCAGGATACTGTTCCCAGTCAGCGACAAAGTTGCTCCATCAGTATTTCATAAACTTACATCCAAAACATTCCACATCAATGTGTAGACTGGGTTACCATAAGTGTCGTGGGGCACAGAGGTACTGATGGCTCCTGGCCCGATAACCACATCAAGTTCATGTTCTCGCCACGTCTTCCGCCAGCTATCAGCATAAGCGTCACGGAGACCGAGGAAATCGCTAAGCTGGTGTGCAACAGGCTTATCCGCAGAAACCGGAGGCTTCGTCTTCGTGAAGGGATGCACTCCTCGCTTTACAGAAGGGACGAGAGGTTCTCCGATCTCGTTTGCGAGGACGTCCAAGCCATCCGAAGTCATGAAGAAGTACTGAAATCCCAATCTTCCGCCAAGCCCGGCGCTACAGTCAGGATCTTGCGGCAGCCTGATGACCTTGTGTCCCGCCTTAAGCAAAGCGGAGACTGCGTCCTCGAGGGCTCGACGAACGGGGGGATGCATGGGATACTCCGGGTCTTCCGGAAGTACACCAACTGTCAAACGTTTGGTGTTGTCAGATTTGGGAGCACTCCACGGGGCGGCGATTGCGGAGGCGTCATATCTCCATGGGTTTTGCGAGAGCACAGTCTCCATGAACAAGAACAGATCATCGACTGAGTTCGCCATGGGGCCCGCCACGGGCACCACACCCGGCAGGTGGGCCTTCGGGAATGGGTAGTTTGACTGGCCCCCGAAAGGCGTCCGATCGGCTGTCGGTTTGAAGCCGTAGATGCCGCAGCACAGGGACGGGATTCTAATGGAGCCTGCGATATCGGTACCGACGCCGAGGATAGAGCCGCGGAATGATACGAGAGCACCCTCCCCACCGGTTGAGCCGCCAGCTGTGAGGGAGGTCTTGTGCGGATTCAGGGTTCTGCCAAAGATGTTGTTCTCAGAGTCTGCGGTCTGTGTGCTTGCCCCGTCAGTTGGATGATTCGGGGAGAGGCTTCAGGGGATAAGGATTGCAGACCATCATCGTCTGTGGAACGTTCGTTTTGCAGAAAAACACAGCTCCCGCGTCCAGCAAAAGGTCAACCATCGCCGAATTTGTCGTTGGTGGAGGCCGCTTGAGGAACTCGACGTAGCCGACAGTGGCGTGGTGTCCTCTTACTTTGAACGAGTCCTGTCTCTGTTAGCTAGTTGGCTCGACGTGTCTTATTGGTACTAGGCAGCTGACCTTCATGCTGATCGGGAGACCGTGCAGAGGACCGGTGGGCTTTCCCGTTTCCTTGAAAAGTTTATCGAGTTCTTTAGCTCTCGTGATACCCTCAGCAAAGAATATCTCGGTCAAACAATTTATCTAATCCTCGTTAGTTTTCGAGGTATGAAATCTGACGGATCGCTTACAAGCTGTTGCGCCAGAGCCGCCCGCTTGCAGAATGCTACCGTGACTTCTTCAGCCGTGAGCTTTCCATCGTGAATCTTGCCCAGAAGCTCCTTTGCACTGTAAGACTCGGTGATTTCAAGTTCGCTATCCGTGAACAATCCCGACTTTCGCGCAACATCGAGAGCGTTCAACTGACCCTCCTTGGGTGTTCCAGCACCTCGAAGCTCTTGAAGCTTCTGGTCTGACAACACCCATTCTTGGGGTATCGAAGCTTGTTGCTTCTCTCTGTGACGAGAAGCTATGACTTCCCACTCCATGGCTGCAGGCATCGTGAAATGCTGGTGGTTACTGGTCGAAATGGAGGAGGGCAAGGGAAGGGGTGGCTTGATCTGATGCAAGACTTCAGATGACAACTATGCAGGCAGCGGAACGATTCTCGGAACTGCACATCAGCCGCGCTCGCTTATCAAGAAGCCAGAGATCAACGAACTTGGGATCATCTTCATGTTATCAATAGCAAGCTCGGAAAAGTGGCGGCGCGTCTATTGTCTCGATTGGGAAGGAGATGGCGCCGGAGCTTGGGGGAGCTATGCCGGCCGAGTGCCGAGGCCGCGGTGAGGTGTGTGTCCCGCATCTCAAACCCCGGCAAATGAAGTCGGGAGAAAAGGTTCTCCTCTGTGATCTGTGTCATCGTTGGTCGTGTTACAAACAATTATTTAACGGGCGGCGTTTTCAGCCATCATCTGTCACCCCAATTAGCGCCAGAACTGCGTCAATCCCCGACTTGATCACCCATTTCTTTGCAACACAGGGATCATCCGGCACGCACACTACCCCAAACATGTGGTCAGAAAGAGACTCCGCTCACACTCCATCCCCGGGAAACGCGTTCACTCCGAGCGGGGTTGATGTGCCACCCTTGCGCATGCCGCATCTGGACTTCATCTATCGGATCGTCTGCGATATGGATCCGTCTGTGTCCGAGATACGCAACGTGGACAACACTGGTACCACGCGGCTTGTATTGCCCATTTTGAGCGGTTCGGTGAAAGGACCCAGAATCGATGGCAAGATAGTGGAGCGCAGCGGCGCAGACTGGGCGGAGCAGGTCAGCCCTGGGAAGGTCAGTGACTGATACCAGATACGCGTTATCGATCGCGGGTCTCATGATTTCATTAGGTGTTTTCGAGATTAAATGCCCGATACACACTTCAAACCAACGATGGAGTGTTCATATTGGTCAACGCTCATGGTATCTATCGAAGCGGCCCAGGACAGACGGAGAAGTTGACCCCCACGGCATCTCAGGATGACGTGGAGTACTTTACGCATATTAACTTTGAGGCTCCTGGAGGCAGCCCTTATGACTGGATGAATGGAGTCTTTGCGATCGGTGTTATGACGATGTTTGAGGGGAAGCCAATCATTGATTGCTACCGGTTGACAAATTTCCCTGGCAAGCCAGCTGAGAAGCTGTGAAGAGACATCGATGGATCTAGAACTTCATGTTTTGTTTATAATCCAAAGAGTATGATACAAGTTGCTGAGTTCCTGGAAACCAATGCTATCGACACTAGATGCAACGAGACATACAGCTTGCACAAGGAGGATGGAAGACAAGGGTCCTGCGGGCTGCGGGTGGATATGCGGGTGTGTGCGGGTGCAAACCGCCCAAGCCCCCAAACGTCTTCCTAACCCAACCAGGCAATAAAATTGCACACTAAATCTTCATGCGTTTCTCCACAAGTCGCCAGTACCGGGGCGCGAGGGCCGTTCGAATCCGTTTGCCCCAGATGATCATCGGCACGTACAAGAGTCCAATAACCAAAGCAATCGCCCCGCTGAGGATGTACATGTTACTGAGACCCATGCTCGACATCCAAGGAACGAGAGCAGAGGGAACGCCAACACTGACGGCGTTGCGGATGAAGGCTACGCCCACAAAAGCCTCAGCGGTAAGCTGGGAAACAGCAGTCAGCATCCAGCGCGTTTTGACGGTTACAGTGGCTTTACCTCTCGGTAGGTGTCGATAACCAACGTGAAGGTGATATCTCCGTTGGCGCCCAGCCCAAAGGCGAAAAAGGCCCCGCCGATACTGGGGTAGATCCAATGCATCCCCTATTCTTGTCAGTTACCTGCCATGAACATGGCCCTGCTGAGGGCGGGCTTACCCGGTCTGCTGTAACTCCGAACATGACGATTCCGCCGGCCATGGTGATTACCGGTAGGAAGAGAGGGTAAAGTCGCATCTCAGGCTCAAAAAGACCCCCGTTTCTCTTAGCCAGGCGAAGAACGGCCCAGTCAGCAAATGGTCCGCCGTAGAGACTGCCAAAGATGTTCCCCACGAACGGTCCAAGTGTCATATACCCCACAGCAGCAGTGTCGAAGTTGTAAGGAGGGGCAGAGAAGACCACTGATACAACAGACATGAACAGCACCAACCAGCAAACTCCTGACGCGAACTGAAGGGCGGTGAAGAGGACATGAGGGAGCATGATCACATGAAGGGGTAGAATGAAGACGCGCAGAAGAGATTCCGAAGTCGGGGTCACGAGGCGCATGCGTTCGCGATAGGTGTTCATGTGAATAGTCCGGTCAACGTTCGACTGTGTATAGTCGAGTTCGAGTCCATTCTTCTCCGTGCTTTTGATCTTGGTTAGACCGTTGTCAATATCCGTGGGCTCTGTTTCGATCTCTTGGCTCTGGCCGACGGTAATCGGCACGTATTTTGTTTCTTCGTAGAGAAAGATGAACATGATGAAGAGAATCGTCAGCGCGATAGAGAGAGCGTAGTATGACCACCGCCATCCCTGAGAAACGGCTTGCACCCCAGCAGCCAGCGGCGTGAGGAAGCTACCCGCCATGACGGCGATGAAGTAAAGGCCATTAGCAGAGCCTCGCTGGTGTACGAAAAAGAGGTCGGCAATCTTGAGAACTAGTTAGTAAACGCATGCTCCCTTTTCTCTTTTGGCTGCGGTATGCAAGCGTACCGTCATCTGGACAGCGGTCTCGTTGATCGCTCCAGCCAAGCCAGTTATAACTGCTGTGACTATCAGCTCTGCGTATGAGTGCATCGACGATGTCCACCAAGCGGCAGCGGCCAGAATGGCCGTTGAGACCAAGTATGTGAGTCGTCGGCCGTACTTGATGGTGAAGGGAATGAAGAAGATGCATCCGGTTGCGAGTCCTGCAAGCTGAGCTGATTGTGCGTTGCTAAGCTGGGCGATGCTCACGTCGAGATCAACGGTCATTTGTTGCCAGAAGACGGTCTGGATTGATAGGCTGTTCGCGTAATCCATGTGTTAGCCTTTTCTCCTAGCAATTTTACTGTCGAAACAGAACTCACTTGGTGAAAGCAGCGACCGTCACCCCCATGGCCAAGCCATAATTGAGATACTTGCGCCATCTACTCCAGTTCTGATGCCAGACACACTCGTCAGCAAGCCGCCTTCCCGAGAGTTCACGTAGGTCTGTACCAAAGGGTCGTTTGGGTCCGAAGATGGGACGGGCGAAAGAATGAACGTGGATGAATCTGTGGCTTGTTCATCTGAGTTTGGGTCAACATGAAGCCGTTTCGGGCGGTGGGTATGTCTTACGGCTTATTAAGTGGACAGTTCCAGGGGGTAAAGGGGTGGATTGGACACCCGGCGATGAGGAGTTATCCATAGGAAGCTTTGGTCGGTAGTCAAGAGGTCAGAGAGACACGGCAACGTAGGTAAATTGAGTGCTAGGATCCAGCCTAACTGTTGATGTTCGCTGGAGATCATCCAAAAGTTCTAGAAATTGAGGCAGACAGCCATTCGATATATCTTGGATTGACATGACCCTGATATGGTGTCGTTGCAACTACCGACGTTCTGTCCTCCTGTCAACCCAGGAGGACGTCCAGCGATAAGACATGCGTCCAGGTTAACCCTCTTCAGACGTGTTAGACTTTATTGGCGATCATCCGTAGCCTAGCCCCAGTCATCTGTCAAATGATAAGGGCACACAGGCCTGCAGGGCCAGTGGTGTAGCAACCCTACTGCATCTGATGCCAGGACTTGGCTGCATTCCCGCGTGTGTATGCAGTCGCGTTTGGATAGCCGCCGCGTGAAAATCAACTTTGATGCCACACCCTTCACTAGCAATTCCCTGCAGGAACTTGTCATAACCCCGTTTCCAAAGCAGCTTCAGCATGCCGACCGGGAACTTTATTCGCTTTAGCCTGTCAGTCCCCGCATTTTGTAAAGCTGCAACAGCGTGCTCAGACCCCTGGTTGAGGCGTCTGAGCCATGCCCCTTAGGGCATATATATGCGCCTCGGTTCCTTCTGCCTCTTCGGAGTAGCTTATCTCCTAAAAAGAAACTTGCCCAACACGTCGACCAGACATTCCCCCTCCCGACGGACATCGGGACCAGCCAGCTCGCCGAACGAGATACACGACGCCCACTATCCGCAGGGCCTGTTTCCACTGTCCACTCACAGATCATCGTTCGGGCAAACATGGTTCGTTCCAGGGGAGGCTGCTCCAACTGCAAGCGGCGGAAGAGGAAATGTGACGAGACGCGTCCAGACTGTCGGGCCTGCCAGCGGCGCGGAATCCAGTGCGAAGGCTACAACACAACGCTCAAGTGGACCAACGGAATAGCCTCGCGTGGTCGCTTTGCTGGAGCCGCGATCCCTGATGTCTCTTTCTACAGTTCCAGCTCGGAGCCCAGCAAACTCTCACACTCAGATCATCTGCCGAGCACCGAGGATCCACATTTGCAGGTGGCCAGCGCCCCATCCACCTCCTCTTCTACCTCCCCTCCCGGAGCCGAAGGGATCACGCAGACCGGTTCCGCCTCCGAGTCTGGGGTTGTCTCTCCCTTGGCGCGGTCGCCGGGCGCAAACATTGACCCAAAACGGCAATTGTTCAATAAGTGTAAGTCGTCCTTCCCCAGTTGTCTAGATCCAAGATACGATCCACGGCTGACTTGTGTACCAAGTCCTGAATGCCGGTTTGCATCGCCTGTATACGACAGAAAGTTACATTTGGCTCCAGTCACACTTCCAGGCAATGGCAGAAAAGAGCCAGGCCTTTTTTGTCGTCTGCACTGCCATCCAAGCGTATATGGATGATGGCTTTTCGGTACTGGCGATGGAACATGTCGACCATGCCCTGCAAACATTCCGAGCGGAACTGGAAGGTCGGCATGGCTCTTTGGATGTCTCGACCATGTCGGCCGGCATCCTCGTTTGCACTCTATGCGTGAGTCCTTGCTAAGCTGCACGATTCATGGTTGCGAACTAATCTTGGCTGCATAGTTACTTCAAGCCCGTCCCTTCACCATGTATCTGCAGCTCATGGCAGACCTTTATCATCTTGACACGAAGCTTGACGTCCTAGTGCCGTCTGCCGACCACGACTTCCCTACACGCCATTCCATTGAGGTATTATCTATCATGGACCTGCCAACATCAGTGATAGGAAGGATAAGCCCGAGCATGGGTGTTTGGCGCAAACTGCGGAAGCATCAAGACAAGTGGGAAGGGGGAAGACTCGGGGGCGTAGAGGTGGTCTCGGGGTTACCGAGGTCATTTCTGGACATTTTGGCTGACATCGAAGATAGTGAGAGAGAAGACCTAGAGGCGCGACTCTGGGCCTGGCCTGGCGAGATAGGCATGCATGCGCAATGCATTCTGTGGGACTGCTGGAGATATTCAGCTGTCCTGGATGTGAGGAGGCGAGGGAGGCGGACAAAGCGCGTCGCTACGAACGCAGCGCCGAAGGTATCGCCAACGCATGACAAATCAACCGATTCGGCGCTGTCTTCTTCGACAGAAGTTGTCATGTGCCGCCTTGTTGCGTCTATTTACTCTTTATTTCGAGCAGTTGAGATACCCGCAAATCACCACTTGCTGGTTCACAATGGCCTCATCTATCCACTAGTCACAGCCAGCGTAGAGGTTCCCTTGTTAGCAGCGCACCCGGAGTGGAAGGAGGTCTTGGATGATGTGAGGGCATCATTCAACAAGAAGGATTCTTTTCATGTCCAGAAGATGATTGATGAAATCCTTGAAGCGGCCTGGAAGGAGGGCTCAGATAGCTTCGACGTTGAGAATGCAGCTCAGACTAGGGGAGTAGAGATTGCGGTCTTCTAGGCCCGTATAATGATAATGAATAAAAGCAACGATAATACACGGCAGACCTCTCTGAGCCAACTTGGGTCTAAGTTTGTGCAGGAAGCGCAAGAACCAACAACCATATCCAACATTCATTCCAGTCATGGCTCTTATTTACAGCACGACGCCCCCGAGTCCTTCCCATTGACACTTACTGAGGTTGTCTCGCCTGCGTACTTAGACGTCAAATCACGGTTCGAGGGCACATCGAGGGCTGGATTCGAGGTGAAGAAGTCTACCGGGTTGATGTGCAGCTGAATGGTTTCGACGGGCCTGCCCATGGTAAGTGGTGATTTTCCGATAACGAGTTGCTTGGCACTTACATCACGGGCCAATCCTCGACACGCGGGTTGTGAGTGAGCCCAAAAACGCTCCAAATGACGATGTCATTCTGCAAGACATCATCGCAACGCGCAGCTGCATCTGACACTCCCTCTTCCTCGATCGTACTTTGCAAGGTGTAGCGACCTCCAGCGTAAAGTTCATCATCCTTGTACTTCGTCACCCACAAATGATGGTGCGCGAAAAGAGCTCTTTGAGCCTGACGACTCCGAGGATCCGCTAGAAGAAGCTGAGTTGGCGGAGGCACAATCTTGTAGCCAACTGGCTTTCCGCTGACTGGATTGCGCTTGCTCAAATTCTGAATCTTGAACAATCGTGCGTTGTGGGGAGCAGCATCAAGACCAACCGATGTTGTGATCGGTCTTTCCTCAACCTTGTACGCATTTCCGTTGGGATTTGTTCTGGTGTCAATCTGAAGTGGAAGCGATTCTTGCTGGACCAACGTATTCTCATGACCATCAATAGCCGGGTCGATTCGTACGCAGAAGATGTGCTGGTGGTTTTGGGCAAGAACACCAGGGGACACAATATTTCCCCATGGTGCCGTTTTGCCAGCATCGATGTTGACTGCAGACAAGATGCCAGTCGCTCTTGTTTCGACCGTGATACCTCCAGCTTGGTCGAATTTGTACTGGGAGAAAGGTCAATTGCTACTCAAAACTAAGGAAGGGTGCACTCACGTTGAAAACGTATTCGTAGTTAGCTACGGTTAAAATGAACTGGATGACCAACTCTCGCCGCCGGGTCACGACGGCTCTGTTTGTTCGCCAGTTCGTATGCTTCCAGCCAATGCCGTTATCCTGCTCATGGAGGCAGATGACGTTAGGCGAGCTGTGAGCTGTACCATCGGGGCGGTTCAGAACGCCATCAAAATACTATCAAATGTCAGCACAGAACCTCGCATTTCTCACGTAATTCATTCAAGAGCTTACCTTAATGACCCCAAGACAGTCGCATCCAAGCTCGAGATTATTCGCACAGTGGCCAATGCCCCCATCGCCAAAATCGAAGGCTTGCTTGCGGTGGAATGGATTGCGAGGATCAGCGTAGGGAACCGTCATATCGCTGATCGATAGTCTGTACAGCACACTGCGTCCACCATAAAGAACATCGTGAATAACGGCGCCCTCTCTGGGGTTGAAGCTGACGCGCATCCTCCATTTCTGCCACTCCACCAGACTCTCGTCTTTGACACTGAAGCTAGGTCCGTTGGGCTGAAGAACATTGAGTTCTTTCAGATCATCTCGCATCTTTGTTTCGAGAAGTTCCGGAACGTACTCGGAAGGCTGGCAATGGTCAATAATGCCCTTTCCCCTGGGCTGCGCAACGTAAGGGTCGTCCACGCCTCCAGTGGCCAATTCGTCAACCCGGACAACCTCTTGCTTGATCCAATCGACCACAGGGATTATAGGAAGCGGATAACTGTAGAAGTTGGCATCTGGGTTGTTCTTCCGTTTGTCAATGGCAAAGACAAGCGCTTGGAAATATCGGCGATTCTCGTCATAAATGTCGAGACCGCCATAAGGCCAAGGCTCGATGACCGCTTCGAACTCCTCGGGGAGTGAAAGGGCCGCGATCTTGGACTGCAGAATTTCAGACGCATTACAGATTTTGACAGTCTCTTGAAGTTCATGCCTACATCGCAACCGGGTTAGCAAGTCGACTAATTGATGATCTGAACGCCTTGACAACCGCATGATGGGACGTACAATGTGAAGCTCGGGTGGACATCAGTTTTGACGGTTTTTTCCCACACGCGCTCAAGCTTCTCCAAGTTGACGATGGATTCTATTGATTGCGGCTTGTCCTGATTGGCAACGACCACATAATGCACTGAGGCCAGACGAGGAGGCCTTGGCGTCTCGGGTGTCAGCCTGCCAGCATGTTCAACGTCAAGAAACTTGACAAGATCTGCCTTGTCGGGCTCTCTGAGATATATCACTCGGAAGTGAAGAATTGTGTCAGGATGCAAGGCGCGAATGACGTCCGCGGCAGCGGCGGTCTCCTCAATGCTGAGGGGAGAAAGTGGGTGTGCGTAAGGGAGCTTTGGCGACATTTTCGAAAAAAAAGATTCAACAATCAGTGTTAAACGGCTTTGTGAAAGAGGAAATCTTCAGTTTAACTGAAGAAGTTCCCATTTATATTTTCCCAGATAACTTCATCTTCACTTCACATGATACTCATTAGACACATCACAACCCAGCCTCAGGTACATACTGCTAGTGTTTGCCTGAATAGGGCAGGTCGACCCGCCAATCAGATCGGGTCAATTGAACCAGGGACCGCGGTACAGTGGAGAATCCGGCAGTCCAGATCGAAGGTTGCATGATTGGAGGATGGTGTTTGCATCGGCACGTTGAAGCATCTCATCGCAGGCTTAGTCGGGGCCCGCGGGTGCTGGGAAGAAACCTTCCCAGTGAACTTATTCATAGTGAATCACTACCATCAGATTCATACAGCTCGAGGGGCTATGGAGATTGAAATCCCACAGTCGAAATGCTTGACGACATGATGACTTAATCTGAGACAGGAGGCCTGTGCCCTTTATCTCGATGAACCAACCCTGCTAGTGCGCGGGATTCAAATGCGGTCAGGAATTGGGACGAAAACTGTCACCTTGCAGGACTGAACCGTACCATAGAAGTCACACGACGCGACGCGTGACCATCTTCCGAAAATGGCTTCTGCGAGTCCAACGTCCGACTCCACGGCGGGTTCGTAATCCCACCACCAGTCTGTCGACGCCAGTTTGAAGGAACCCTTGTAGCGGAGAAGGCGTACAAAGAAGCGGCTTCGCCTGCCCCTGAGCACCCCGCACCATGTTCCAACATCTCTGCCATCAAGTTTAAGCAGGGTGACTACGCCGGTTCCTTGAAGAACCTCGAGAAACCTTTGTGCCTCTCCTCCGACGAGCCGGAGAACGGCCCAAAGAAGCAGAAGTTGTACACTCGAATGGTCAAATGCCACCTGCATTCTCTGTCTCTTTCTAAGGCTAGTCAAGCCGTGGAGGCTCTCAGTGATGATGCCTCGGGCAAGGACCTTCAAGCCGCCTTCAAGGAGATGGAGAGCTTGCGGTCATCCGCATTGGACGCAGACAAGTCGCGGGAAAACATTTTTGGACCGCCTGCCTAGATATAAGGGCTCTCTGTAGGTTGATTGGATCAAACTCAACCTGTTCTGGCTGATAGATATGTTCCAGGCAAGATGCTCCAGAGTACTATGCTTTCGGCCATGATCAAGCCGAGCCGCTGTTTGATGCCCCGCTTTGGCCGCTGATGAGTGAGAAAGATCCGGTGTCTTTCCTCTTCTGCGGGAGTGGCGATGCCCGTCATTTGTTCGTCACCATAGTTGCTCTTTTCGTCAACAAAACGGCTGCATCAGTAGGAGGTCCTGCAAAGGGTATGGCATCGGCTCCGGCTCATTTCACATTGGTCGATATCAATGCCGCCGCGCTCGCGAGAACCCTCATTATCTTTGACATGACCTTTCGTTATGGCGTCATGAAGGGCCCAGAAATTGCCGCGTATCGACGGTCTTGGCTTACATGTACTCATCGGCATTCATTCCTAAGTTCGCTGCCGAGAAGATATTGGAGCATGTTCGAACATTGATCGATCACTTTGAAGACACCGACGATGGTGCCGGGACAGATTATATGTTCATGCTCTACGTCCCGAAAGATACCCGGATTCAAGTTCTTCGCAAGCTGAAGCAATGGGCGGAGCCTCTTGGAGCTATGTATGCCACCAAACGTCTCCGGCCAATGATCCAAAAGGATTTCGCACAGACGCGGGAGCGGAAAAGAGGGGTGTTTGGTGCCGAACGTGATAAGACTGATAATAAGGACGACAAGGAATTCGCGGAACTAGCCGTGGTATTTGGTGACACGGCACACCAGACGCCGCGAGCCAGAGTTGATCCCCCTGCTCGAGGCATTCCGGGCTGAGAACCCGGGATCCAAGAAGCAGCTCCTTGAGCAAGTCGATTCGCAGTGGGTCGTGAATCAGACTGTTCTTGATATGGACTATGAGAAACGCACTCGTGAGGAGAGCGGGCCGGGTATGCTGCCAAACTGGGACTTCAACCCAGCAGATATCCTCAAGAACCTGCCAAACCCAATGACCGCCATGATGGGTATGATGGGCAGCAGTGACAATTCCGGCGTGCTTAAGGGCATCTCAGAATTCTTTGACCTATTGTCTGTTTCTGTCATGTCGCTTCATGAGCGTCTCAAGATCGAGTTGATTGCTGGCGAGATGGCAGATGTGTTCGAACGCCTACAATACGACGGGATGGAGCATCGGAAGCAGAAGCCCACAGACAGCGAGGCTATAGATCCCACTCTGTTTCCACGGGCGTACGACCGAATCCATCTGAGCAATATACCGTACGTCTCACTGGAGTTCTAAGCCGTTTCGCTTCGTCCGCTGACCAAAATAGGGATTACGTTGGTGGGCCGTTGACGGCGTTGATGTACGGCATGCCTCTTCTTCACGAAGGCCGGCCGTCTAACTTGAGATTCAATAACCTTCTCAATCCTCCGATGTTCGACACCCACGACCATTTTCTTGCGGAGTACATGCTCATGCATGATGCCAAACAGGTGGCTGATCACTTCGGTGCCGTGCGTGAGATAGACTCCAACGCTCCGAAGATACCCGAAGAAATGAAGAAGTTAATTGGCGACAACACGTTCATGATAGAGAACTATTTCCCATGGGCTCTCTCGGGAACGAAGAAGGTGCCGCGAAATAGGATGATGTCTCGGCCTGCCTTGGGAAATTGGCTTTACGGCCATCTCCTGAAAATATGCATCCCGTACCCCCGCCCTATCTGGAGCGACCGTCCGGTTCATGCTCCTCTGAACTTGACCGCTTTGTTCCGATTGATTACCCAGATGCACAAGGTTGGCTACCCAGCACACTGGCTTTCCAACATACTTTACGGTATCTGTGAGCATTGGGCCTTGGAGAGCCGAGTTCACCACCTTGTTGAGTATTTGGCGTCGCCATCTGCCCTTTGGGGTCATTGCACCAGAGCACGCCTTGGTTCCGCCAGAGGAGATCTTGGAGTGTAGCTTCACATTCCCTAGGTTTCGTGAACAACAAGATCGGATTATGCACTTCACCCTCGTGTTCGTCAACGTAGGTCTCGTCGATGCCAAACAGCCCGATTTTCGAAAGGCTCTCCTAGACGCCGAGGCTGGATATGTATCGGACTCTGCCGCCAGGTTCCGCAAAGGTGGAGTCCATATTGTTACAGCGTTCAAGTTCGTGACGGATACAAGAACGGCGTTTTTTTGGATGCGTAAAGACGTCTTGGACGAGATTACGTCAGGTGACTCGTGGGCAGCAGGTATTTGCCGTACGGATACTTGGGATATTGTCAACGGTACGAAGATTCCCGTATCTCAAGGTTTGAAGACTGTGGGGCCCTGGATCGAGGCATGAGAAGTCGTGATCTCAGCACGTTTGGAAGAGTAGGTAGAACAGGTAGATCCAAATGCATCTCCTCCTTGGCTTTTTCTGAATGATCCTATGTCTCTGATTCTGACGCACGTGGATTCTAGACCACAGACCGGTATGGCTCCTGGTCCATGTCACATAAGACCAGAACCCCTGAACGCCCCATCGTGAGCCCCAACCCCGAAGTGGGACAACCACAAATCCTGATCGCGAGACGAAATGAGTTCCCAGAAGCACCGCATTATCACAAGCAGTTGAAAGCCTCATTGGCTAAGTGGTATAGCGTCTCACTAGTAATGAGAAGATCGCCTGTTCGATTCAGGCATGAGGCAAGCTTATTCCTTTTTGCATTCATTACAAACGTATGGGCTGAGAACCATTCTCCTTATCAACATGCTCTAATCCGACGGTACGAAGCTGAGGATTTCCCGAACAACAACTCTGGGGCCTTTTTGATCCATTAACCCTAACGCGATATACTTCCCTAGTGGTGGTGAGACTGCAACTCTAGCCACCATCTCCTCCGGAAACTTCATGCATCCTACCTCGCTCATGCTCCGGGCTCGCCATAGCGTGACTCCTCCTCGGCTGTCAATTGTCGCGATGGTTGCTCCAGACGCAGAGTACGAAGCCGCAGAGGTGGGCACGGAGTGATAGTATTGCCGGCGCCAACATCGGGCGTTGTCCCGCCAAAGATAGATGTAATCCGAGTCGCAGTGTGCATAATCAGCCCCGTCCGGGGAGACAGCAGTGACGGGCCCAAAGACCGGGTACTTGATCATCTCCTCTCCCCGAGTATAGCCGGTGCCAGTGATGGCGGGTTCTAGTGGTATGATATGCACAGCTCTGTCGAGCGCCAGCACAATGTTCTTATCGTCCGTGGTGAAAGCCATAGATCGGACGGTGAAGTTGCCTGTTCGCCAAGTACCAGCTGTCGGCAAAGCAGATCCCTTCAGTCTCCATATAACGAAGTTGCCGGTATGTGCAGTTGCCACACAATGCCCGTCATGTGAGTACAATACAAAGCAGTCGCCAGCTGGCATCTTGCCAAACGGCCCCCTCTCTTCAAGAAGCTTCAACTTCTTCGCATCGAATCGACTGAGGCGACCACTATCCTCCAGCACCATGATGAACTTATCGTCGGGAGATATTGCCGCGCTCGCAAATGTCCGATCCGAAGCTTCGTAGCTTTTGATCACGCTTCCGCTGTTGGACTCGATCAAGTACAGTTTCTCGGGAGAAACTACGAGAAGACGCTCTCCGTCACGAGAGAAAGTAACCGACGGCGCTTCCAGTCCACGGCAGCGGATTTGACTGGATATTCGTGAGTAGGACGTTGAGTAGTGATTTATCATGCGAGACCAAACGTGGTCGAGGGACTGTTCAGCATCGGGACGGAGCTTCGGATGAGAGCACATGAGGTCTTGCACTAGGGAGACACATGGGGACGATACCCCTTGGCCTTGGAGCCTCTCGTTGGGGAATGATCGACCATCATTGGAGTATTCGCGAAGTGCTTCGAGGTCCTCGCCGAAAGAGTGTGCGCATGTTAGCATGAAATGGAGTGTTTCCCCGGCCGCCCACATGTCACCCTTTTGAGCTGCGATGTCGGGCGCAAGATCATCAGTTATACCAGAAAGACCGAGAATCTCGGGCGCCATAAAGCCTATTGTGTCGCCGGCCGCCAAGGACATGCTGATGGTACGTTTGGGTCGCTTGCTAATTCCAAAGTCGCCAATCTTTATCCACCACTCGTTCCCGGGAGGTTGAGTTCGGATGAGAAGATTCTAGAACCAGTCAACTTACTGATGACGAGGAGAAGAACGTTGTCAGGCTTACCGATGGTTTCAGCCCGCGATGCGCCAGATTATGTTGATGTATATATGCTAGCCCGCGGAACACCTGTCGAATGACGAGCCTCGCCTGGGCTTCTGGTATGGGCCCTTGATCCATTAAATGCGAATGCAGATTTCCATGCGGAAGGAACTCCATGGCCACAAACACCTTGGACGGCGTCTGGTACCAACCCAGTGTCTTTACAAAGTATGCCTCGTACTGAATTGTAGGCGGTCAGCTTTGCTATAATAGGCATGGAATGGTTATTACCTGGGGCTGAGAAAGGATAGTTAGTCCCTTCAGCTCAATCATGATATCCACATCAATGTCCTTCTTGGTCCTAGGTCGCGGGATTTCCTTGACGGCTCGCAGTTGACCGAAGGACGGTCCCACAATGCACTTCTCTCGGAAAACCAAGCCAACACCGCCGCTTCCCAGATACGATTCACTCTTCCAGTGCTCTTCCTTCCCCGGCCCATTGTCGGCGCTAGCATGGATAACAGTCTCGTCAGGCCCGATCCTCACGGCTAGCTCGGCACTCTGGACGAGCTGCACGGTGTCGTCGTCGATCATCGCGTTCATATTGCTGTTGCGCGCTGAGGCTGTCGACTGATACAGATAGGAACATCAAGGCGCCATTCAAGACGGAGACACTGAACACATGATGCCGCCGTTTGTGGTTCCAGCTGCTTGGGAGACGTGTGAAGAGAAGAGATCGAAAAGAGCGAGGAGCGCGTGAGAAAGTCGGGCATTAGAGTTCATGACGTGTGGCAGTGAGAATGAGAGTTCTGCGGAATCGCACTGTCCATAAACACAGCGTCATGAAAATGCGGTGTTGTGAGGATATCGGGTAACAGTGTGCATTTGCCGTGGTGCTCGGACAGGCACACTCGCAAGGATCTTTCAGTTGAAGCCTCAACAACGAGAAGGTAGTTGTTGCAAGTTTGTCATCATTCGCGAGCTTGTTTCCCCCTCTGAAACTTTTCTATTCTTGTAGACCGACACTCATGATCATCGGTAGCACAGCCTTTCGGCGACGAGCCTTGATGTAGGTGGTGATGGGTCTTACAATGCTGTTGTTGTCTTCTTATCCGGAACGGATTGGAAATCAAAAATATAAGTCTGCCTGATGTACCACCATTTTCATTGAGCCAAAGTGGCAACGGTTGGAGTGCAGTGGCAGACCGCAAGGTGATAGTTGCGTGGATCGTGAGTCGCTGCCTGCTGCCATCGATGGTGTCTGCGGCGCAGCATGTGGATCCCACAGAACCAACAAAAACATACCACGCGCTGGTTTTTATTTATTTATTTTTTTGGTTTTTTTCCCATAGCGGTGTATTCCTTCTCTGTTTCTCTCCCGATATTCTGTATTCATCTCGGTCTTGACCAATTTGTTTCCAATATGTCAAACTTGGGCCCACTACCCAACGAGGTCCATGGCCTCATCTTCTCGTGGCTACCTCAGCGGGATCTCTTGACATGCCGTCATCTCAACAAGAAAGTCGGGGACATTGCGACATCCGTCGCATTTCGACATGTTTCACTTAAGGCGCGTCGTAAATGCGAGGTGTTTGCGAAGATTGCCAGATCGACACATCTGCGCAGGGCCGTCCGAGAGCTTACTATTGACTCCTGGGTCGGCCCATCGTTTGAATACAACTTGAACGGAGGCTACCCGATGCCGCAGGAATTCATCGCCGCCCTATCATTTGTCGGAATGTTTTCAAAGCTCAAGACGGTGAACATCCGTTTTAATGAAAACGTCGGCAATGGCCAAGAATCTTTCCACGAAATTGAAGAGACTTACGACTTTCGTTTCTGGGTTCTTGATACTGTCATCAAGTGTCTTGCAGGCACTTGGAATGGGAACAATCAACAACTGAGAATGCAAGAAGTCCACTCGAGCATGTACAAAGGCCAATCATCGAACTGGGAGGAGTCTAAGGGCCTTAAGCTGACGGACCAAGACGTGCAGCTTCTTCAACCAGTTCATGTGGATACCATCACTGTGTCTAACCTCCAGGACTTCAAAGACAAACGGCTGACGGAGTCGGCTGCATTCAAATCAGTCATTTCGTCACCAAATCTACGGGACCTCAAGCTTTTCATCACCACCGAGAGCGACGAAGCCGCACCAGAGAGGAACATTTTCTTTCCTGAGAGATATGATATTGACTGCCTTCCGCACACATGGTTATCCCCAAGCTTAGCAAAGAACCTCAGAACTCTTTCTCTCTACTGCGATGATTATTGGGGATGGTGCCCCCGACTAGATCTTCGAACAGTCAACCCCGGATCTGGGCCCGATTCCGGACTCCCTGTTCTGAAAGTCCTAGCACTCGGGAACTACGTTTTCAGCCACGAATGGCAAATTGATTGGATTGCTTCCCTTGGCCGCAAAAACGACAGCGGAGGGCTTGAGGAGCTATACCTCGATGATTGTATCATACTGTTCCGGGCCGAAATGCAAGGGCATCTCGACACAGGCACAACGATCATTGGCACAGACAGCGGTGGCAGCTCAATGGAAATTTCCAACGACAGGTACCCTAGCAAGAAACAGTTCACAACGAACGATGAAGAGGAAGCCGAATGGGATGATGTTACCGTTGAATTCGACATCCGGTGGCACGCTGTCTTCTCGCACTGGAAGAACACCATGCGAGGCCTAAAGATCCTCAAAGTGGGCTCAGGCTCGTGGGGTGAAGAGCATGTCGATGCCATTATCGACGCGGAATTTTGGCACCAGAACGCAAACAAAGACGCGAAAGAATTAGATATTGCTATGTCAACTTACAGGAGGAAGCGTGATAAGTTCCGGACAGAACTTGCAGCCCAGGTCTTTCTGAACTTCGCAGCTCCTGGGCCGAATCACAAGGTTGCCGGGACTCATGAGCCGCAAGTCAGGTATAAAGACGGCGTCGGTCTTGATCAAGTAAGCCAGAAGTTTCTTCGATACTACAAATACGACATGGGAATGTGCCCTCAATGGTTGGAAGAAGACGAGGAAGGAGAAGAGCAGGAGGATGGAGGCCTCTGGGACGTGGGAACAACTGAAGAAGATTGGAACGCACTGCTGGAGCTTCTCGACACTGTCGAAGCGAGGCGTCTCGGACTGCCTCTTCAAGGTTTGCAAGGACGAGACTTGCAATCTGCACTCAGGGAGAACGAAAGACTTCTCGTGCTGTAGAGTTCCTTGGTAGCTTTCTTGGTCGAAATCAACTCCACCCAAAAATTCAAATTGTGCTCCACTTCCCAGGAAACCGCTCTTCACGATGCGTCTCGCGATTGGCGCCACCAACTAGAGTCCCGCAAGCCGGCTGTATCTCCAATCAGCCACGGTTCCAGTCGCCCAGATCGTCTAGTTGGTTAGGATGATACGTTGTGGTCTCCGTCACTCAGCGATACCGTGTTGACGGCGGTTCGAATCCGCCTCTGGGCAGCTCAACTAAGCTCATGGCCTGGCATCTCTTTTTTTCTCTAGTTTTTCTGCGACCCGCATCACATATCTCACGCTTATGGGATTGACGTTTTACCTTACTCTGAGATGATAGTTAAACACCAGCTCGTCTTCCAGACGATAGAAGGTTAGACACGATCATTTAATCGCCTTATCCTTTGTCGAAACTCTTCCCTGTAGAATCAATATGACATCAACAATGGGCTGATTTGTTTTTCCATCTTTCATCATTCGTAAGAGAGCGGTGACTGAGTAATTACAACATTCACACGGAGCGCAGGGGGTAAAGGTGATGCAACTTGCTCCTAGAGTACGAATTCGGGTGTTCGACTCTGCGACGGGTCGAAGTGTCGGAAATGTAAATCCGTTTCCTAATTGAAGATGGTGGCAATTAGTAGCGGCCACTTGAAAATTACGGAAAGTCGTTGTAACGTTTAACTAAGCCTTGGCGGAAGCGAGCGGTGTCACTTGTCTGCAAGACACCGCTAGCATTTGAGCCCTACCTTAAATCCAGGATTTGCGTTTACTATCCCAGGCAGCAGCACGGCCAAAATGTCAGCACTTGACGATCCATTCATGCTGCCCTCGTTGAATCGAAACAACAACCGGATCATCAACTTTGAGTATGCATGTGGGATGGAGCTGACCCATCTACGGCCGCTTCCTTCTCGTGTTCGTCGACAAGGCTTTCACCAGTCTCAGAAGGGAGGAGCAATACCTGGCCGCAACGGATCCTCCTGTCTGATTGCATCTTAGTGTTGTCTAGTTCATGCATGCAGCTTGCAGGTCCCGTCAATTTCCTCGCTGATCAGTGCAGCTTGCTTCATAGCGCGTGGCGATGCATAGTGAGCCCAGGTGTTCAGCAACTCAAGGGAGAAAATGCAGGTCCAATGCATCGCGTTCAGCCGCCCATCGGTAAATCCCACGGGTCACCGCTACCCCGCGATTCCGGCTGGGCGCTCTTCGGGCACCGGCAGCACCCAGAGGAAAGCATCGGCTCGGCTCAGCCGGTCGCTAAACATAGCATTCTAGAAGAAACGCTAGGAAGAATCAATCGAAATACAGGCAGATCAGCGGAGGCGGCACAGTAAGGCGATGATGGTCGGAGGGATCGGGGCCCCGGAAGAAGATTAGTACGTGGAGTCTTGTTGTTACGGTTAATTGGCCCCGGCAGTTAGCGCTCGTATTAATCTCGGGGTCTCATCACGGTACGTCATGCGCCTAGAGTTGATGTCCACCTGCCCCAGAAATTGAATGCATGCGACCTTGAATACGAGAATCAGTCCCGGGTTGTCAGTTGTGTTATACTAGCATCACCAGCCACCATTCAACAAAACGGGCTTTGGTGGCTGGATAACATGGCTCCTAGGCGATGCGCTGGACCCGGTTGAGCCACTTTCGCTGTCAGAATGAACTCAATACGTAATTAAGCGAGGTTACTGGGCACCCGGAGTAACTTCCAAGTTCCTGATCGCATAGTCGCCTACCCTCAAGGTCATGTCACTCTGGCATTGTTGTCATAATGAAATGACGGCACGAAGGAAGCGGTGACTGGGTGGCTAAGCGGCCGAATGCTCCACGGTTTCTCGGTTCCCAGAATGCGACCCGGAACACGATGGCAACGTCACTTTACGAATCGTTCGAGTCTCTCGGCAGAGTGTTTATGTTGTTGGGCACCTTCACGTGCAGTCCTCCAAAGGGCACACCCTTGACATCCAGAGCAATACTTAAAGACCAGAGATTCCTCCCCAGAAGCAACTATTTGGATCATCACTCCAACAGGACAATCATTACCACATTAATTATCAATCCACAACCTTAATACCACTTTTACTCAACTCTCTACAACCCCCAACCTCCAAAATGCAGATCACCAACATCTTCCTCTCTGCCCTGGCTGCTGCCGCCGTCTCCGCTTCCCCCGTTGAGAAGCGCGACTCCAAGTCCATGATGGCCGCCGTTCCCGAGTGGACCATCGAGAAGTTCACTCGCTCTTGCAACGCCGAGGACACCTCTTGCAACTACAGCTTCTCCATCAACACCCACACGGCTGACGCCACTGCCTGCGCCTTCACCACCACCGGCTCTCCCGCCAGCAGAGCTGCTTCCAATGCCAAGTGCGGCGCCTACACCGTTACCTCTGGTTGGAGCGGCCAGTTCGGCCCCGATGCCGGTTTCACCACCTTCTCGGTCACCGACCAGAAGCTCATCGTCTGGCCCGCCTACACCGACAAGCAGCTTGTCAACGGCCAGGCCGTCAACCCCGACCAGAGCTACGCTCCCCAGAACCTCCCTTAAATGGGTGCACTTGCGACGGTGGAGAAGGATCAGAGGAGGAAAAATACGATCTCGAAAAGACATTGAAAGTCATGAGATGATGCAAAGTACATATTAGTATAATGTAATGAAAGGATGCATAACGAGTTCTCAAACTTTTCAATCTGCCTTTGTGATACTCTAGGCGCAGATGTGTTGTTGTTCCAACAATGGATCTTCATCAGATCAACCGTCCGAAGTGTGAATGAAGCCTTGTCAATTGACAGACGGCCTTAAATAGAGAAAACACAGATAAGGTTTTCAGCTGATATCAACTTCAAACTCGTTAATCTTGTTTTGCGGGGACAGCTCGCGCACTTCATCCCCGACATCCGCGACTGGTCGAGAGTTTACAACGACAATTCCTCTTCTACCTTTGGAGTCCAGCCACATCCAGCTTGTAAGTTACCCCGGGCACACAGAAAGTTTTTGTAGTTCCTGCCCATGAAAACGGTCTTCCAGGTCGCAACAACTACAATATACTTTCAGCCATTGTTGTCGCACTGTATATGCAATTGATAGTATCACGTGAGAGAAGTTATACTATTTCTTCAATCACGACATAGAATGCTATCCTTATTGGTCCACTGTTGCTTGGAACCTCCACGAGGTGTGCGTATAGGCCTAGGCAAGTCGATCATAGTATCGTTATGCTCTACCAAGACGTCATGTTGAGTTTGTCTAGTGAGATTTCGCCGGATTAGAAAACAAAAACGTCCGTTTAGAAGTGGAAATTTGCGTAGAGCATAAGCCAGGTGGAACTCAACGTGATCAAGTGCGATCTGACGAAATGGAGTGGTCTAACAGCTCAACCCAGTCGTCAAAAACATTTCACACGCAAAACAGGGCCGTCAAAATGCAAAGGAATGTGGTTGTATTATGTGTAGCCAAACGCCGTGAAAACGAATCCCTAAAAGACGCCAAAATGCTGATCTAACCCACCAGTGCAATATAATTTATACCATCATCTAACAAACTCCTATCTATACCACAAGTCCTCTATTATATATTAAAATAGTTATAGGCCTAGCGGCTGAGAGCTATATAACGTAGTAGTGCGTACGCGCCCTCAGGTATATATAGCTACTATAGCTATATAACTCTATAGTTTTAAAGCTTATAATCTTAAAAAAAAAAGGAAAGGACTTCTTATTTACTTTATAGATCTAAAATAAAAAGAATAAGATTAAAAGCTTAAAAATCTACTAAAAAATAAGTAAATTCTACTTCTAATCTATTAGGATTAATAATAATATCTAAACTAACTTCTTATTTCTTAAAGGGGGCTAGTAATCTAACCTCTAAATACTAAAAACACTAAAAAATTTAATAAGTTTATTAAACTCTATTCTAATTATCCCTAATTATCTTCCCTCTAATCTTTTAGGCTAGAAGATAATTCTTTATATACTTATATATATATAAAAGTACTATATTTACTAATAGAACTTATAATAAGTATTCTTATAATCCTAAGTTTCTTCTACTTCTCTTATATAGGTAGTATCCTATTTAAGCTTTAGTTTATAGTATACTTATCTTTACTATCCTTTTAGTTTTAAAAATCTATAAGTATAAGTCCTAAGTAGTATATAAGTTTCTATCTAAGCCTAAAAGTTAATATATTAGTTAATATATATTACTTAATTAATTACTATTAGCTTTAGAATAAGTTACTTAGGAGGGTAAATAAAATAGTTACTTATAGTTATAAAGCTTTAAATAAAAACTAGAGATTTATATAATAATAAAATAGGACTCTTATAGCTAGGAGTTATAAATATAGGCTTATTATAATTATTATACCCTTTTAGGATTAGAGGGCTAGAAACTAAGCTTTCTAATAGAGATAAAATAGTAACTAGAAATTAAATTAGTATTATAAACTTTTAAGGTAAGTTTATTAATAGGGGTAGACTAGGGGGTCACTCTAGGGATAGCTATATAGTTCCTTTTATAGCTATCTTACTTAAGTAAACTACTACTATCTATATTATAAAATAGAGTAGGAGGTTCCTATAAATTAAATTATATCTATAAAACTTAGTAGTAATCTATAACTTATACTTACTAACTAGAGGTAAAGAGCTTTAGTAATAGAAGCTCTTATTAGTAGTAGTATTATTACTAAAGTAGGTATTAAGGAGTTCTTCTATAATAAAGTAGTAAACCTAATTAATATAGTAAACTCTATAGCTATAACTATTAGGTTACTATACTAAATTAACTACTTAAGTATATTATAATAAAATAGTAATAAAGTCCTTAAGTACTTTAAATAGCTTATACTAAGTAGTAAGGACTTTAATAGTATTAATAAACTCTTAGTTACTCTACTAATTAAAGTTTAAGTTTATAAAATAGCTCTTCTTATTAGTTTAATCTACTACTAAATAGATAAAGTAGCTTTATTT